ACGAATTTAATCGCAGGTTAATTTAATCTGATGGCAAATCAAATTAAAAAAACAAGGGGCAAATAACACAGGGAATGAAAATGAAGATTATAGCCAAACAATAAATAAGACGACAATGATATATTTCAATAGCAATTGAATCAATATTGTACTTGGCTCGTTCTATCTAAATCCTTTTAGCGTTGTTGAGCTATTCCAATCACTGCAAGTCTGTCTGAGTCCAGTCCCATTTTAATTGCAGGCAGCACAGCCTCACCAAAAGATAACGATAAAAGGTTTGATGATTTACTTTTGAGAATGTGTGTGTGTTTTAATAAGTTAATCATTAAATTGCTCGTTACAGTGACCCCAAGGTCCATGGGGCCACGTTGGACTTCGTCTCATTTTTCTTTCTTGAAATGAGAAGTGAAGCTCTGTGAAAGAAAAGAATCGAGTAAAGACGAACGCTTCTGGGTGGAAGCCAACTCTGTAGAAGGAAAGCTTTCTGCGTTACATTTGCAAGGCAGTTTCCCCATCCTTCACGACTGCTTCTGGATCAAGACAGCAGACAGGGATGACAGTAAAACATGGCTTCAACCACAGGATTCATCATTCTGCTCGTATTGTTCCTGCATCTGGTCACAGTCACAAGCTTGTCTGATCTGAAAACATGTGCAGACCCCCAGTGTGCAAGTAAGTGCTTTGTTAATGGTAATGCACTACTGTTTACTGCTGCTTTTCACAGCTAGGTGCAACAACTTGCATTTATTTGGAGACCTTCAAACAGAGCAGTGTCTCGGAGTGGTATCTTTGGTACTCCGGGGGCGTTTAAGCATTACTTAGTAAATGGCTCTTTGATTCAATGTGATTTCTCTTTCCACACACAGTATAAATTGGATTATCATCCCATTACAGAGAACATAATCGGATTTGTTTTCTTTACCAGCAACCGCAAAGTACAAAGTTCACTTTTTATAGCTGCGTCTACATTTCTGCACTCAAGACTTTGTGCTTTTCTGACCATATCTAAACTTTCAAAATGTTGGCGTTTGCCACTTCATCTTGTTTTATTTTACATTGTGAGACGTTCTGCTCTTGCTATTCCTTCTCTGCAGGGCTCCTGAACAGAGTACAAGCTTCCATGGACTACAAAGGTCCAGACTGCAGATACCTAACCTACAAATCAGGAGAATCCATAGATGTATATTGGAAACTAAGTGGGAAAAGAAATGATTTGTGGGCTGGAAGTGTAAGTGGTGTATTCCAAGACTCCATGTCTTTCATTCTCCCGTTTCATTTGTAATCAACGGGTTTATGATTTTGGTATTTCTGCACTCTCAAGACTTTGCGCTTTTCTGACCGTATCTAAACTTTTTTCCCAATTGCCTGGTTGACAGCATTTAGGACAGTGCAAAATTAAATTCAGTAATTTCAGTGTTCAGTCATGCTTGTCTCCTAACTAGGTCTAGTTATATCAGTGACAAAGTCCATGAACCATCCTTACTTTACTGCTTCAATAAAAAAAACGTGATTCATTTCAACAGCATGAAACACCTTTTCTTTCATTTCTGTTTCAATGTTTTTTTTATATGGATTCCAAATTTATTTTGCAATGTTTATTCTCTTGTTTTTTTAGATAGGAAAACAATTTGGGTATTTTCCAAAAGATACAGTTCAAGTCGAAGAAATCTTTGTATCAAGCGAAGAAGAATTCCCAACTGAGGTAAACAGGAAAATGTTTTTCTTAAATACAACATGTTTTTTGATATACAGTATACAAGGTTGCTATTACGTTATAAGTAATGTACAAACATTTTGAAAGCAACCCTGTTTAGGCCAGAGCAAAGTATTCAAATATATTTTTATTGTGGAACACGAGTATAAGTTAATATCCGCAACATATTTCTTAAACTCAACCTTTGAGCCTCTTCTGATGCCCAGGTGGGGAAAGAAGTTACTGCTCATATATATTCAATTGCTGTCCTAAAATTTGTCCTTTTAAATAATCTTAAATGAACTTACAATGTTGCCAGTTCCTACCTTCAGTGCTCAGACAGAAATAAACAAATGAACAAAACGTTATTTGTGTGTTTAAAAGTTAAGCTAAAAGCACAACAAATATTTCTTTCAGGAAAGTGATTTCCTTTGCCTTCATGAAGGTGAATATTTCAGTGTAAGTGACCCATCTAGTGGAAAATATGGAGAAAGTTCACTCTTAAGTCAAGAAAAATTAACCACAGAAAGACACGAATCTGAACACGTCAACAACAATGCGGATGACAAAGGTAATTCTGCCAACGATGAATTCGTGGACAGTTTAGTTAATCTTTCTCAGGACGACAGATTTCAAAGAGCACATCGTGCTATTGATGGCACTGAGTTAGGGACAAACTATGGTAAAGAACAAATTCAAAAAAGCGTAACACATTCCGAGAATACAGAAACAAGTGAATTTATTTCATCAGCTGACCATCCTGTAAGTGAAGAGAGTGACTCCAAACTGAAAGATGACAACGAACCCAGCTTAATAACAGGAGCTAAATCTGTAAATAGTGGTGCAAAGATTGAACAGGGAGAGGAAGAATTCGGTGCAGAGGCAGGCGTTGTGTCTGAAAGTGGGGGAGAATCCAAATTAAACAGGCAAACAGGATCCAATTGGGTTGGATCTAGAATTATAGGGTGGTTTGGTTTTGAAGACAACCCAGATGAAAAGCCCGTGGAACCCACTGACCAGCCTTTGCAAGTAAACTCCTTCAAGAGCCGAAAACTTGCCCTGGATGATGCTGCGGAACGTGAAATGTCAGAAGCAGGAAGAGAGTACGCCATTGATCAAGGCAAAGCAGCCCCTGATTCTGAAAATTCCGGCTGGCTTGGTTTGTCAAAATTGTTAAGCTTCACCAGTGGCTCTTCAGACCATGCCGTACCCACCCATAGTAAAGAGGAACCGGACAAACATGACAATGCTGACTCATATTCCATTAATGACTCACCTGACCAAAGTGATGTTGAGGTAACTGACTCGGAAGGGAACATGCCTCGCGAATTAGTGTCGGGTGAGTTCAGTGATACAGCCAGCAAGCCTCCTTTAGAAGGAGAAAGGTACACTGATGGAAATGATGAGCAAAATCCTGGATCTGTGTTAAAGTGGTTTGGTAATAGATTGGGGTTTGGTCAAAGGAATGAAGCCAAACAGTCAGATTCATCAGAAGAAGCAAAACCTGTTGCTGAAGAAAATGCAGTGGATGATGATAGTCTAAACTCCTGGTCATTTGGCTTGAATACATTAAGTGATGCACTTAAATATAGTGCAGAAATGCCAAGCAATGATGCAGGCAGCAAGGAAAATGCAATAGATAGTGACAGGCCAACCTCAGGATGGTTTGACTTTGGATTGAGTGAACGATTTGGGTTTGGTGAAAGCGATGAAGATCAGACCTCCACTACACAAGATGAAACAAAAAATATTGATGAAGAAAATAAGGCAAAATCAAAGGATGGGTCAAAAATGATATGGTTTTTTTCCAGTATGACTGGTCCATTAGAGTTTGACCAAATCGATGAGGATCAACCTTATTCTGGTGCACTGGAAGAAACCGAGAAAGTAATTGATAAAGATATCAGAGAACATACAATAGATACAGATCCTAAAGAAGGTTTTGATCCACATCAAGGAAAACAGGCTATGAGTAAAGAAGAAACAAAGCAGCTTGATTCATCAGTATATGAAGACATAGATCATTCAGTAGATCCACATCTATGTACAAAGGACACAGGTATTGACTGTCAGTCAACATGTCTGCAGGAGTCCACAGAGAAGGGATACAAAAAGACTCAAAATGAAAATCCACAGTCATTACTTTCCACAATTGGTTTGGAAAACAGTCTTGGTATTGAGAGTAGAGCATCAAAGTTGCAAGATGTTAATGAATTAAATGGCCAGAATGTAGAATCGATGCATGAAAAGCTACATGATGAAGAACAATGTTCACAAAAACATTTAGTATTTAATTTGGAATTTAAGCAGTGTATTTCAGATCACAGTGACTCTCCAATACCCAAAAATGTGGATAATAAAAAACAGAACTTACCAGAACAGTATTTATCTTCAAGTCCATCACAACAGACTTTTTTTGATGTCAGTGAATCTCTGGTAAAGGAAAAGTTTCCGAATGAAAAACATATGTTACAGGAACACCATATTGCCCCAGACCTGGAATCCAAGCAAAAAGGAGAGCAGATAGTAATCAACTCAGGCTCGGAGCAGTTTACCATAACTAATGTCAACCAGCATCTAGCAGAGGAAGACTTGAATCATGCGCAAAAGAATACATCTTTAATGTCAACTAATGAACAGCATAATGATAAGATTTTACCCCAGAAACAAGCTGCAAGTGGTGAAGTGCAACATTTCAATACTGAATTTGATGCTACTTCACATCAAGCCGCACCCTCTGCACCAGATGAACTGCACAGTGAAGGCACCAATTTACAGGGAGAACACTTAACAGACAAAGATTGCATTTCAGACCATTGCAATCATTTGCTTCAGAAAGTTAAAGAGCAATTTTTGGAGGAAACGATTCTACCAAGTGCAGAGTTTAAACATGTCCCGACTTCACATAGTGGCGATTCATCACTTGCAGGGATGTGGTGCGCTGGAAGTCAAAGAGCACAAGAGGAACAAATGTGTGGACAAGAAGCTCTGAAGGATGATGTACCATCAACTTCAAAATTGAAACAATTTTCTGCTTCTGATCACACTGTATCATTGTCACACCATGAGAAAAAAGAAGTTCTATTGACACAACATTTAACATCAAATTTAGAATCCAACCTGTCTGATTCAGATTACACTGGAACTACATCACACCAAACCTTGCCTGAAGCAGAACAAAATATCAATGAACATCACTTATCCTTAACATCACAATTGAATGAGGTTGTTTCAGATGTTTCACAGAAAAAAATACATGACATTCAAGACCTGCAACAACATCCACCTTCTAGTTCAGAATCCGACCGACTTACTGTGTCAGATTCTGGTAAGCATGTGATGCCACAGGAATTGCAAGAAACATTACAGGCAAATGTGTCAAGACAACTCCAGTCTGAGCAGTTTACTAGTTCAGATAAAGACCAACCTTTGTTTCAGGAGAAAGGGCCCAATGAAGGATCTGACTTGCAGGCAGAGCACTCAGCATCTGAGTTAGAATCCAAACTGCTTACTGTTGTTGATAACAGTGAGCAATTACTGCAGGACAGATCGCAACCTGAGAAACACATTTCGCCAGATGACTTATCATCAAGCTTAGAATCCATACAATTTATTGTTACCAATGGTGGTGCAGCTAACCCACAAGAACATTCTTTCTATCCACACAAAAAGTCAGAAGAACACAGGACAGGATCAGAAACAAATTCTGCCGCTATAGAGCCTTTGTCACAGGAAGGAATAATTGAATCAGAAGTCAGTGTTCCAACAGAAGATGCTGGTAAACAAAACAGTTTACAACAATCTATGGAACATGAATCTTTGGCAGGTCTCCATGAGTTGGTGGATGCCATGGTTTCTGAGAATATGCATTTTCTAGGAAAGGATTTTGTTAGTGATGATGACACTGAATTTAAAGACCAAACGCCAGAACCGCTTGTTGAAGCTGCGCCAGAAAACCACAGTTACAGCAAGACTGATACCGATTACCTAAGTGAAAAAGCAACCCAGCCACCCACACATTCTGCTTCCACACATCTGGGGAAAGACAATTTAGAAAATCATCCTGAAAAGCCTCATGAAAATGAAGACATTGGAAAATCAGATGTAGATGCCGCCAGTGAAAATGTTAACAGAATTATTTCAGCAAGCGAAGAGATTGACCCTGGCAATGTGGCTGATCGAGCAACACCAACATCAATAGACGCTGAACCCAAAGACCACCAAGCCGCCTGGACATTTAGTTATTTTTTGGAGAAATCCAAACACCAGCTTGAGAAACTAAGCGGAACAGGTCCAACGTCTGAAAGTACTGATTTGTTCAGTGATCTTACATTGCTGATGAAACAAATGACCATTGAACAGATTCAGTATTTGGAAAAGTGCCTTGGAAAAACCAAGCTGTCTTGGCTCGAAAACATTTTTGCCCAGTTGGAGAACGAGACGAGCAGCGATGGTTACAATGACATTATGCGAGAAATAGTCACTTTTGAAGATAGTGTTCTGAAACACAAAGACACGATGTGTAGAGTAAAAGGTGAAGATCCCGAGGATAGGACGGTGGAAAGGCAATACACTGAACTCACAGATGCATTTCAAAATCTGCAAGATATTCTAGCTGCCATCAAAATGAAATACACCACAAACGTCTCTAATCCAAGCACCAAAGGTATTGGCCATTGACTTTATTAGGAGTAAACAAACAAATAAATAAATAAATAATCCTTGCATTTGATATAGCGCTTTTCACGTCTTCTAGCCGTCTCAAAGCGCTTCACAGAATAAACTGTGAATTGACTGTATATTTGTGGGCGAAATGCGACAGCCAATTGCGCACAGCAGTGTCCACAAACAGTCGTGTATTGAAATGACCAATTGTATTATTCTTTTTTTTTCGTGAGGGATTATTATCAGACGTGTGGAGTAAGGAAACTTGCTCAAGGTTTCGCCCTGCCAGGAATCAAACCCAATACAGATATTAACATGCTTGGTATTGTTTTTTTTAGAAGAATGAGCGTTGTGTATTTTATTTTACTTGTATTCACAGTTTTTTAAAATTTGATTTTGTTCTCAACAATTTGAGGGATCTCACTGCTGAAGAACGGAACACTTCTTACTTTGTGAACTCAAACAGTTGTAGAGTAAATCTCCCAAAGCACTGACCCAATAACATGCTTTGAACTCAACCTCACAGGAAGATCAATCACCAACCATTTATTTTTCCACTATGCACATATGCAACCCCTATGTTTTCTCAGTGTGATATTGCCAATTCAGTGCCAGATTTGTGCAAATTATGTTCATTGCACGTGTCCTTTGTTCAAGCACTATCAAAACTCTTGGCAATTGACTTTCTTCTGATTTCCTTATCCCATATTCTCCCTTGCTTACATGAGAATGGTGGCTGTTACCATGCCCATGGTTTGACCAGTGCCAACAACCTTTCAATACCTCACCCACGTATGATACTGAACTGATGCTTCCACATGCACACACATATACAGGTGAACTATTCAATAGGGGGCACCAAAATGAAGATAATAAGAAAAATCTGAATGATCCCCTGCTCCCTCCCCCACTCCCATAGCCCAGTTAGTGAAGCCAATATTTGGCATTCCCCACTGACGTCCAAACTGAGATCAGCGAGCTCATCATTGACCAATGATCAAACCTGGGAACTTCCTGAGCCAATGTGAACTTGCTCACTGCCCCATTAGGTGAGACATTTACCAACTGAGCTACTGGGGGAACTGGTGGTTTAATATTATTTGTACATCCAGACGTGCTTGGTGTTTGAAATACAGTATCTGGAAAGTCCTGATTTAAATAGTTTTACTAATTCAATAGCAAGCTAATGGATTGGTGTAGCAATACAGCTACTGGCAACAATTTTGTCTTTGTAAGAGAGACATATTCATAAATTGTCCCGATGTTGATCACCTGATGGTTTGGGGATTCAATAGTGGTCAATAGTCAATTGGATGGTCGATGCCTATTTATCCCCCTGACACAGAAAGATAGATGCATGACTTCAGGAGATAACAGAGTTAAATACAGTACCTATGTTTGATAAAATATGTAACTATTTGATATTAGAATAATAATCCTTGCACTTGATAATTATACCTTGATGCTTTATCATGTTGAAATATCTCAAAGTGTATCCCAATAATTACTGTCAAATGCAGAATTTTTGGAGAATTGGTGGCCAGGATACCAGGAGAAACTCCCTTCTGTTTTCGAATAGTGTCATTCTATAATGTTCACCTGAACAGGCAGATAAAGGTCGATAGCAAGACACTAACAAACACTTTCATTCTTTATTTTGCAGACACTTACAGTTCAGGAGACATTTCTGACACTGGTCTTCATAACAGCAAACAGAAATTAAAAAAAGTTGAGGATGATTGGATGTGGCAAGATGTGCAGCTCACTAAAGAGGCACAAGACATTAATTCTGAATTAGCAAAAAGGCAAGAGCTGGACATCCATACCCTTAAACAGTCAATGGATCAGGAGAAAGTAACTATCAGTGATGACATTCAGGAACGTACATTGGAAAATCAATTTTATCAGGATGCACACAACATAAACCAAGAGAGCAACATTCTTGATAAGACAGACCAAGCAGTTGTTAACACACAAGACAATCAAATGCTCTCACAAGACTTCAGTGAAGAACTTGGAAAAGAACCAAAAACTACAAATGTGATAGATGGAATGGGAGCTGTCCATGTTAATGGTAAGTATGAAAGGTGAAGCAGCTTGCCTTGTCAGGCTTGCTTTTTAAGTTAAGTTTGCAAACGATTTGAAACATTTACTTATTTGCTTACCCTTAACACAGAACAGAAGAGAAATCCTGAGATAAATACCATCCACACACTGGGCAAGAAGCTTGATGTTTGCGTACAATTTATCTTGGCATTCATTGACCATTTCATCGAAAATGTAAGTAGCATGCTATGGAAAGTGGAAGAGAGTTTGTCAGTATTTTTACCATACATTGTCATCATCATATATGAACATAACTTATTTTTGCATTGATTTGATAGTATATTATCTGAAGACTACTGTATATGTAATCATTGTGCGGGTGTGTATTTTTGTCCTACTCTAAATTTTCTGTCTAATTTTCTTTCCTTGCCTGTTCTTTAAAATTGTGATAGGCAGAGTTCTCCACTAACTAGAAACCTTCAATTCTGGAAATGGCCATTCTTTACACGTGAGCTTAGATTAAAAAGTATTGGTGAGCTCAGACCATGGAACTGTCCAAACTGAGCACCATCCTGTTGATCTGATCCAACTTCTAAACATGCATTTTGCCAGGTGCATAAAGTTATTCTTCCAGCATTGAATAATAATCAGAAACAGGGAGCCTGCNTTTTTTTAGTAACCAAGGAAAATGGAGGTCAATTGTTGTGCCTGTTCGTCAACCTGAGCGCGAATAGCCGACTCAATAGAAACCAGAGATCTTCCTGGCCTTACTTACGCCATTGATGAAGTTAAGATTTTTAACTGCTGCATTTTGTTTAAAAATCTTTTTACATTTGAAGAGAAATTAAGTCTAATTTGTAATTGTGAGTGGAATGGAAGGTCACTTACTGTTATAGTTTTTGTGTTTATCAAACTGAGACATGCTCCAGATATCAGATAACACTGCAGGGCCTGTGTGGTTTGTTTGATGATTAGAGCTTCACTGTTGTTTCTTGTCTTTGTGAAATGATAGTGCAAAGGGGGACAGAATGTTCCTGTTGCCGACACTTCCCATGCTTTAAAAGGCATCCAAAATTGGAAAGAGTTTGGTCTTTCATTTTGTTGTTCATTTCAAATATAACAGCATCAATAGTGATTGTAACACAATATTCATAAATTAAGATTTGTGAAAATATATTTGCTGCAAGACTGTTTCTCCAATTCTCTAATCCAGGAAGTGCTTGTATCAGAAATGTGTTCTTTAAGGCATCATCCTTTTTAAGAATTTTAACCACCTAGTTTTCAATAATCTAAAATTATACAGTTCCTAATGCACTGCAACTTTGACACAAAAACAAATTATTTGATATGTGCTACTGTATTTATTACACTCAGTTACCATTTCTATTTAACTTCTGTATAAACATTTAACATTTGTCCGCGACTGACTGAGATGATTCTCCAGTACAGCACTGTTAGTACTACCTTGTATTCTGTGCTGGAAAGTACATATGTTTGCATGGATGTTGGGTGAGAACAGGATCAGCCTTGGCTGTAATGCTGAAGCATTGAATAGCCTGCCAACACTTATCGTCTCAGTTCACACATAACGATTGGCGACTTAGCAAGAGGGTTGCTGGCACTTGCAGAGCCACACCCTGATGATAAATTCAGCTCCCGCAGGATAGAAGCAAGGGAAATATTGTTTTAAAAAGCTTATAATTGTGGAAAAAGGCGCATTAAACAAATACAGACTTAAATTTAAGTTATTTGAGCTGTCTTGACAATGTGTTAGGGCATCATATCAATATTATTATTAATACTAAAATATATAACTCCTCAAAAGTGAACTTTTATCTGGTTAAGTAACCTTGGTTACAGCAAACTATCCAATGGAGCTATAATCTTTGAGCAACAGAAGACTCACAGATATAATTGTTGTTTACAGAATGTGATGTACGCTCTGTTACATTCTTTTAAGATATTAGCAGGATATGTGAAGTAGAACAGAACTCTTTTCAGATTATTGGAAAATGTCTGAACATTTCATTATAACTTTCAGACTATTATACAGAGAAAAGGCTGTTTGAATCTTGGCATTCCAATTTATTTATGTAGATTCTCGCCGCTAGTCTATGTGGTCTAAAGTGGTGTAACGCCTTATACGATTCAACAGTGCCACGCTGCTTTTATTCCTTTCAGACATTTCAACTGCTAATTGCATTGCACGAATTCCTCACCCTAGTCTTACTGTATAGCTGTACTGGGTATGTAATTTAAGACTTGTATCCAGTCAGACTAAGTAAATCCATTCGAGAAAGGGCCATCAATCACACCTGTTCCAGATCTTATCATCAGTTGAGCTCTTTTTCCTATTGGCTGTGAATTTTCCTTTCATTTTAGCCCCACTCTTACTCTTTTTTTCCCCTCGCCACGAATGTTCGATTGCCAAACAAACTCTGCACAGTTTATCAACACTTGACCTTCAAAACTCTCTCAAACATCAGACTCACCTTACCATTTGGCACCCGGACCATGACATGCTATCTATACTTAGGACAGAAGAGCCAAGTACCTGTTTAATAGTTTGGTTTTATTTTAGTCGCAGCAGAGATAGACAAGAGAATTCTCAATAATAATATTCAATTCCTGTTTCAAAAAAAAACATTTCAAACGATTGGATGTTTCTTTTTAAAAAGATGTACTCACTCTCTCTCTCTCTCTCTCTCCCTTACTCTATTCCCTCTCCCAATGTTTCTCTCTCACTTACTTACTCTCTCTTCCCCTCAAACCACTACTTTCTATACCCCCGTCTCTTTCTCTCCTTCTCTCTCCTCTCTCACTCACTCACTCCCCCCCACTCTCTTTCTCCTTTCCCTCCCTCACTTTCCTCCCCCTCTTTCTCTCTCCTCTCTGTCTCACTCTCTCTCTCATTCCCTATCCTGTGTCTCACTCACTCTGTCTCTCTATCTCTCCTCTCTCACCCTCTCCTGTCTCACTCCCTCTCTCACCCTCTCCTCTGTCTCACTCCCTCTCTCACCCTCTCCTCTGTCTCACCCCCTCCTCTGTCTCACTCCCTCTCTCACCCCCCCTCTGTCTCACCCCCTCCTCTGTCTCACTCCCTCTCTCACCCTCTCCTCTGTCTCACTCCCTCTCTCACCCTCTCCTCTGTCTCACTCCCTCTCTCACCCCCTCCTCTGTCTCACCCCCTCCTCTGTCTCACCCCCTCTATCATCGCCCTTTGACCCGGAAGTCAGTCGCCCCCCCAATGGCGGCGGTGCTGTTGGCTGTCAGTGGTCGGTGTGAGCGGCTGTGAAGCGGAGACGAGCCCCGCCCCCCCCCCCCCGCCCCCTCGCCCTTCCCTTCCCGGGGGGGTAAATGTTTACGGGGCCCCCGGGCCGAGGCCTGGCCGTGTCCTGAGCCCAGCCCTCACCCCCTGTCTCTGTGCCCGCAGGTGGCGGCTCGGATGGCCGAGGGGGAGCGGCCTGTGTGGAGCCCACTGCTCCCCGCCATGGCGGCCACCCTCACCGCCTCCCTCCTCCTCCTCCTCCTGCTGCTGAGGAGGAGCTGCCAAGCGGTAAGTGCCCGACCCCCTCACCCCCTCACCCACACCCCCCTCCCCTCACCCCCCTCACCCACCCTCACCCCCTCACCCACACACCCCCTCACCCTCACACCCCCTCACCCACACCCCCTCACCCACACCCCCCCTCACCCACACCCCCCCTCACCCACACCCCCCCTCACCCACACCCCCCCCTCACCCACACCCCCCCTCACCCACACACCCCCTCACCCACACACCCCCTCACCCACACCCCCCCCTCACCCCCCCCCCCTCACCCACACCCCCCCTCACCCACACCCCCCCTCACCCACACCCCCCCTCACCCACACCCCCCCTCACCCACACCCCCCCTCACCCACACCCCCCTCACCCACACACACTCACCCACTCACCCACACACCCCCTCACCCACACCCCCCCTCACCCACACCCCCCCCCCACACCCCCTCACCCACACCCCCCTCACCCACACCCCCCCTCACCCACACCCCCCTCACCCACACCCCCCTCACCCACACCCCCCCCCCCACCCCCCCCCACACCCCCCCTCACCCACACCCCCCTCACCCACACACACCCCTCACCCACACACCCCCTCACAAAGCGCTTCGCGGGATTTACTGTAGAATGTAGTGACTGGTGTATATTGCAGGCGATCATGATCAACATACGAAGCGAATGACTTTGTGAAGTATGTGGTGTGTGTACATTGATCCTGCCCGCATCATTCCACAGCTGTTTTGCAGGACATTGCCACGTGCAAATTGGCTACAGCTTTCTCCCTCAGAGTACATAGTCACTCCACTTCACAGTAAATGTCAATGGTTAGCATCTCTGTGCTCTGAGACTCTACCCCTCATGAAGGGTGCTATCTAAATGCCAGTTATTGTAATTCCTGTGAAGTGAAAAGTCCTCCTGATTTGAAAACAATATCCGATGCAAAGTTTGCTTTTTGGTTACAATTGTTGAATTATCAATACATTGTTGTTGATATTACTTATCAGCCTTAATAACCTTTGGCACGTTAGCACATGCTGATTGTGCTTTTCACCTGTCATGTTTACACTCACCTACAAAATAGACAATCACTGCACTGTATTAAATCCTGATGAAGCGCTTTGAGATGTCGTCCTGACGTGAATGGCACTATTTTCAAATGCAAGGATTATTGTTGTTATGGTGCAAAGCGTAACAATTTACTATTGTTTATGTTTGTTTTAGATCGGAAGCAGAAGGTACCTTGGTGAGTTACCTAAACTATTATATCCACACACTTGTGTAATTCACATTGAAGCACATTTGCAGGATGCTCATCTGTCTTTTTATGGACATCTTCATTGGATTTTCAAGTCTGCATAGATTTTATGCATAGTATGTTTTACGAATGCATTGTACAGATGAATATATTTTTAATTCTCATCCTAGTGAGAGAGAGAAGGCTTGCTGCAAAGGTTGCTGAGTTGCTTGATGAAAAATGCAAAGTTCTGGAAACATTAAGTGACTGTGAACAAAAGGTATAGATATTGATCAAAGTGATGTGTTGTTTGATATTTTTCTAAGTTAGTACTATTGACAACTAGAAGCACATTAGATCTGAATGGAAAGCCAAAACTGGGTTGACCATGCAGCTCAAGTTTTATGTACCACATGGTGTACTAAACCATTGAAATCAGGTTCAACTTGATCTGTGCTGACAAATATGACTTAACTGATGCTTACAACTAAATGTTGTCACAAATTAAAATACTTTTTTAAGCGTTTGTTTACAATACTGTTTTTGTACTGATGCAATGATTTGTGACAGTTTAAAAGAAATTGAGGGAAAGTACTGTGGTGAAACCATGTCAGCATGATAGTAACAGAAGCAGTCCTGTTCACTAGCTTGCTGAGAATGATGGATTGACAGCGTTATGTACCCTTTAGAGCTTTTGAAGGCATTTTTAACAAGGAGAATATTTTCAACTGTAATAAATGTTTAGTCAAAGCCAGTACTATTACAAAATTGTTCTTCTCCCCCCCACCCACCCCACACACACTCACACAATTCAATGTCTAAATATAATTTGAGAGATCTCTTTTTTTTCAAACATCAGAAAATAAATGTAAGCTCTGACTACAAGGCTTCCCCATAATTAAAAAAGTAACTTCTGTCATTTTCAGTACAACAACATTGAATCTTCTTTAAAGAACTTTACTGACGGCAAAGAGACAGCAGAAACAAGGACCCTGAATCTTCAGGTGAGAATACTGTGAAAGAAGAGTGAAGAAAAAATACTATTTACTTAAATATAAACTATACAGAGGAGAGCTTCTCTCATTTTTGTAACATTTGCTGAGGAGTTATGCATGGTAATCTATTGGGAAAATTGGGAGATTGATAGCATTCAGTGGGATCATGGCTAAGGAATCGCAGATGGAATTTAGTATGGATAAATATATGGCAATATACATTATTATTACTACTGGAAATGTTGAAATATTTACGGAATGGGCAGGCATCCCCTGGTGCATGCACTGGGGATACAGTTTGCACTCCTATTTCTAGCAAATAGGAATATCATATGTATTAGTTTTGTAATAATAATAGTCTTAATATCAGCCTATGTGTAACTTTCAGGAGTTTGGTTTGCCTTCTCTTAAGAGTAGTAATGGGTTTCCCTGAATGTAGATATCTAGCTGACCAGAACAAAATGGGGATACGTATATTGAATACAGTTCAATATAATATTGAAATCCTTTGTTTCAGGACACATATGCCAAGTTGGACAAGTCCAATGGCAATCTTAGACAAGCCGTTGAACAGTTCACACAAGAGTTAGAGACCGAGAAACGTACAAGAATTGAACATGATAGTCTGGTATGTAACCATCATGTTTGTCTTTTAATTACTAACAATTCTATTTGATTTACAACTGTAGGCATCTGTCAAAGATAAAATAAAGATCCAGGTCCTGTTTAGCTATTAATTGTAATTTTACTTGCAGATTACAGAAATTCAGACAAATTTAAATGCCTTGGAAACTGAAGCACATGGTCTCAAAATCCAAGTTGAAGAGGTAAAGATGAACAATATGTGATCAGCCAACCGAAGTGTTTGACAATTTAAAGTGTTGAATTAAAAGATCAACTTCATTTTTTTTGCACGTGTCATTTAAGGCTAAAAGTGAATTGAAAGGAATTCAGAGTAATGACACAAGACGTCAGGAATCCTTGCAAGCTGCAAAAGAGGAGAATTATCACCTCAAACAAAGTAAAGAGCAGGTACGTCTCAAATGTTATCCTCTAGTAAAAATGAGCTGAGTTCTCAAGTTGAAGCATCATGTTAAATGCTCCAGTATGAAAAAGAGTCCAGTATGCGTATGTGCGATCACAGTGCCTTTGGAATTTATTTTCCTAATTTTGATCTTACTGTTCGTCTTGCATGCAGCTCTTGCAAGAAGCAGAAGGGTGGGGTGAACGGCATAGTGAACTCACAGAACAAATTAAGTTATGCGCGAAATCTCAGAAGGACATGAAGGAGATTCTTGAGAATAAAGATAACCAGGTGAAGGTAAGGCGTCCTCTATGAACTGAAGCTGAACTATTGTAAGCAGCCAATGAAACAAGCTGTTAATTTCAGAATTTCTTTTCCCTCCAGTCTCTAACCGACTGCCTTCTGAAATTGAGGGTGTGGAACTCAGAGGAAGGGGATAATCCCACAGAAGGTAACGGATGGGACAAAGCGGAGAATAAAACTGAAAATGGGGAGCAATCGGGTAAATAATCGGCGACTCAATTCAAGCAGAAATATTGTTATGCATCGTCCTTTTCAGTCTTGCACATTCTTGTTTCCGAAACATGACCTATTCGGTTCACTCATGTTAAAATAGTGGAACATGTCTATTGTTGACCACCAAACGAGCACAATTATTCAAAACCTGCATATCTTTAGTTGACGATTGTGCTGACATTTGTGCAGTAGGTTTTGGAATGATGTAACTAAAAACCTAACTTAACTTTGAGAAAAACAGTTTTGACCCTACAATAATCCTGAGCATCCACCTGAAAACAAATGGAAGTACGGAAAGAGGGTGTATGAATACTAAGCATATGAATACATAGTTACAGTCTATTATGCAGTCTTATCCTGGGATGTTCCCTAACATTGGCAAACATTGGTTTTAGTATTTATAAATTATACCAGTAACATTGTTTAGACAGTAACCAGCTTTTGAACATTGTAGCTGAATTCAAATATGTTGAGAGGAATGTGGGCGAAATAGGTCTGTTCTGTACTCAGCAAACTATTGTTATATACATACACTGTATGTGTGTGTTCCTGAGATTTAAACATATCATCTAGGAGAACAATACTGTATTCTATGGCATCCTTTTCAGACCTGATGTCCTAAGTTTCAATGAGTGTCACTGACATCTTTTTAAAAACCCTTTATACCAGCAGAGATAACAGAAGAAGAACAGAAGCAAAAGATTGAGAAATTAATTTTTGTTGCTAAGGTAAGTTTTACTGTACCAACATATTAGTTAGATTCTTTTAAAAACAACCGATAATGTACTCTTATTCCCTTCTAAATCTCCACCCAATAGTATGTGGCACATTTAAGGGATCAAAAAACAAATTATTCCAACATTAATGATCCCTGTTGAAGACACGATGTACAAGGAAATGAATTGATGTAGCACTATCTACTGTATTATATTAGATTCAGAATTTGGCCTCACAGGTAGCGTTGAGTGGGACTGTAACATCAGTTCTGTTTTTGACCTACAAAAAATACCTTCTGAATAGCCTTTTTGAAATTATTCTCTTTTTCTCTTTCCCTCCTTCCCACTCCCACAATCCATAGAGTTCAACGTGTAAAAGAAGGAGCACCAAACATAATCAGATCCCACTACTGACCAGTGGTGCAATGGATTTGTGCTGCAATATCTGCTTATTTTGTTAAGAATGGACATTGCCATCTGCATTAGGTTCAGCGAGATTTCTGTCAAGCCATTCTGCTCTGACGAACAACAGTAAATGCCAGTCTTGTGGGATTAGGTCAGAAAGAATAGAATGGTGTTCAACTGGCATATATGAAGTGATCAAAAGACTTGGACTACTCTCCCAACTTACTGTTCTGCTTCATGCTGGGATGTTTTGTTTTGTGGTGTTGCAGTGAGCCTTAAGAAGCTGAATGTTGAATGGTTATAATTCAGTGTAGGATTGACCACCAGTTTGATCATTTCAATTGTGTTCAAAGAAAACAGTGGAAGAAACTCTGGGAACATTTGTAGTCAAATTACATGATTTGCTTTTTTTTGGGCTTCTCTTTTGAGAACGTGTGAATTAGTTTGTCGTTCACCTAGTGGCGCTTGGTGCGAGACACCACAAGGTTATCAATAAAATTCTCCTCACTTTATTTCAGCTATGAAATCTGTTAAGAAGAAATGCGAAGTGTATCTTAGATATTTATTATGGTTGTGTTTCCATATCTATTTTGAATAAACTGTTTGAATCCTCTTTAGTTAAATGCCAGCTTGAAGTCAGTGGAAGAAGAAAGAAACCATATTCATAGCAGACTGTCTGATGAAATCAAAGCGAAGCAAGAGCTGACAGGTAATTGCAATGTCAGACCCTGGTTATATTGGCACAAACTGGTTATTTTACAGAAGCCAGATTGGATTAGTGATGGAGGGGGGGGAGGAAATTTAACTGACTTTGGGAGAATGGTTTTACGCAGGGGCAGCTGAAGATTTGAACTGGCACTTTTTGTAACAAAATGGGTAACAAGTAATGTAACAGAGTCACCTTTACGGCTAGTCATGGGAGCAACATGTCAGTGCTGCTTCACTTTGTTTGCTTAGTTTCAATTGCTTTGGGATGTTACGTTCCACTGTGAACTGCCTGCATCTTTATGGTTTGGAAGACAGCCCAGTCTGAAATACTAATGTACCGACTCCCAAGCAAAGTTCCTCTATACTGCCTTGGCTCGAAGACCCTTTAGCTTATTTTCCCATTACCTGATTAGATGCTCTCCCTTCAGGAGTTTTTGGGATATGGACAAGACAGATCAAATTCTATGTTTATGGGTTTTATGCCACTTAAAATGCCTCTTTTTGCCAAGGAAATGTATTTCTGTTGCCCCTGATGCCTTGGTCTTCCATGCTTTATTATCTATATTATTTTGCTTGAATATTTAAAAGTGTGTAATATTAGCTCTTCTTACTTTCTGAGCGCAGTATACTGCGATGCTTGAAAATTATATTTTTGCATTCATGTGCCTGTATAACAATTGTTACTCTGAGTATAATATAAATAGTGATTGTTGGCCTTGCTTCATCTTTTATGAAAATTCTTTTAAACTTACTAAAGATTCAATGTAACTTTAACTTGTGATGTATTCATTAAAAGTTATCTTTTTCTTTTGGCAGAACGAATTGAAAAACTTCAGCTGGAACAGAGCTCTGTACAGAGCGAAAAATCTCATTTTCAAGGAGATCATAAAACCCTCCAACAAAAGCTGAAACTCATGACTGAAATGTACCACGAGAAAGAAATGGAGCTTCAAAGGTGGGAAGATCAAGTGACCGATCCCAATATATGGACAGCAGAAAATGTTCTAGAACAAATGCCCTGCTTGTCAGTTATTCAGTTGCTGATTAGTATTTTCCCTCTTACATTATTGACATTGTGTTAAATGTGGTGGTTTATTGCTGTATAGTACCATGAGATTAATTGCCACCACTGGGGGAAGGTTAGAGATAACTTCCAAAACAACAACAAACTTACATTTATATATAGCGCCTTTCATGTCAGGAGGACATTCCAAGGCGTTTGACAATCCTGGCTTGACACTACTTTCCTTACTTGCTCTTAGCAACAAGAGCCAATAATATGTGTATTTCTATTTAGTTGTGGTTTGAGTTGCATTTGTTTGTGTTCAAAACTTGCTGTTCAGCCAATAGTTGCACCTAGAGATTGGCAAAACCCGCAAGAGACAGGCCTGTGCTGTTAAGGCAGATCAATTGTCTTTTCCTGAATACAACTCTTTCTAGCCTTTAAAAACTGCTGAGCGCCCATTGCATTGTAGATTCCTGAAACCTCTGATTGTGAGAGGTTGGTATGCTATTCACTGTATTCATCCCAATCACCCTGTGTCTTGCAGCCTTGCTGGACGCAATTTAAAATTAGTATTTTAGGAACAGCATACAGTATTGTAATTAATTATGGACTATCATTTCATTGACCATAGAAAGGTAACTCTGGAAGAAAATCAACGTGTACAGAAGGAAGAAAAGCTTTCTGAAGCTGATCAGAAGTTCAGTCAGGCGGCTGAAGAACTCAGCTGCTACAGGTAACCGAATGTGTAACTAGCTTGTCACTTGATATGTCTTGAATTTTCCATTCGAATTCTGTTACTCTTCCACTTCTCTTCTTTTGCAGACAGCGTTCTAAAGACCTCGAAGAAGAATTAGTTAAAACTATTCAATGTTATAAAAACCAGGTATGTTAAAAAATAAATTTTGCTGCATGTGTAACCCCAGTCTGTGCTGTGAAATCATTAAAGATAATGTTGAAATACTTCCTTGTGAAAATTTCAAATCAACAAGGTATTTCCTGTTTCACTTAAATAACTCAGTTTTCAATTGTGCAACATCCTCTGTAACGCACTGGCCAGCGAGCTTGCTGGTATTTGCTGACTCTTTTGTTAAAATAATCATCATACTATAGTACATGACATCTGATTGATGTACATACTTTTAGGTTGTGTCTCTACCCACTCTCGCCTTTCACCTCTGTTGTGCTAAACCTCAAATATACTTGCATTTAATGCATTGAGTGCTGAAGTGTCCAAAGAAAACAGATTCAGTCAATATTGTCAAATGCTCACAATTGCATTAGTTGCTTCAAAACCATTAGAAATAAAATGTTATTTACATTGACCTTTAGTCAACACTTTTCCTTTCCATTTGCATTGCAGATTGCGTCTCATGAGAAAAAAGCGCATGATAATTGGGTGAGTTTTGGAAGACAAATGCAATATTCCTAACCAAAACCCTGGGTGTCGCCATTCTCTAACTACAGTTCTAAATTATAAAATTTATATTACGATAAATGTTCCAATATCTGTGAAATTAAACAGTATTTCACAGTCTAGCCCTGAAAAATAATTACATAACCCCCTGCTATACTGATTTTGTATTTTTTTATGATGAATGTTTAAACCAGAATTAGCAAAATCATCAATCTTTGAATAAGCTTGAGTTTGTTTTGTGAATGGATTGCTTCTTTAAGTCCCTAAGGGTTATCTTTAGAATCTCTAGACATCTTAGTATTTGATCATCTTAATGCAGCTTTTTTGTTAAAAATTAAGTAATTTTATTTGTAGTTGTCAGCTCGTGAAGCTGATCGAGAGCACGGAAACATTAAAAGAGAGAACATCCACCTTCGACAAAAGTAAGCTGCCACCTGTTCTCAGAACATTTTATCTTCATTCCTGTTCTATAAAATAATCATCCTTTCATTTGATATAGCGCCTTATCACGTCTTCGAGACGTCTCAAAGCACTTCACAGAATATACTGTAAAGTGAATTGATTATATGTTCTGTGCTTGGGAGAACTGTTTATTTCTTTTTTAAAAAAAGAGCATGGTTGAGTGAGTTGCTGAAATGCATCAGTATTAAGTACTAAGGCGTATATTCACTATATTTAAGATTATTTATCAGATCAGTGTAATAAACATCCCTATTAATTGCAATGGAATTTCTTTCTTTGTTGATGCCGATATACCACTTGAGGCTGCTTCTATACCTGTAGGCTTCTTGACAGTGCAAACTTACTGTAAGTTTCACTTACTCGCAAGTGAACAGACTTTCGAGAGTCACTCCCTGCCTTTGTTTCAGTTGTGTGAAAAAAGTGTGTTCTGAATTTCACAGGATAACTGAAGCTGAATTCACAATGGATTTGGCACTGAAGGAACCATTTATTAACAATGTACCTGGGAGGCCAGCATTACTAAGTCCATCATTTGCTCCACAGTACAGAGGTACTGCAGTTGTTTTCTGTCGGTGTTTTAACTGATCAAATACTGCTTTTTTAATTCCAATTTGTACCTGAAATAGATACTTTATGCTCCAAAATAATTATTGTATCTATTTATTCAGGAGGAAGCTCTCCGTATGGTCTTTCCCTAGTGGATCGGCCTTCCCCTGAACCCGGAGGTTTTCTGTCGCCTGCATTTCTGGACGGACCCTTAAGATTTTCACCGCTGTTCCCCGGAAGACCAGACTTTAGAAGTAGTGTATTTCATCTAATTTAACAAGAAATACAGAATGCTTAGCAATTGGGTTATGGTCTACTGCATTTATGGTCTACTTTAATGCTTAAACATTATTTTAAAGCAAGTAAAATGTGGCAATCTGTTCAGAATTATGGATGTTATTACTGGAATTGTGTATTAATTCTGCTTTCTTTTCCTGGTTAATAGCAAAAGGTCCAACAGTCAATCCAGATCAACCTGGTAATGAAAATATGGATTCAGCTTCTGACCGAATGTCTGACCACCACGGTCCACAGTCTGATAGTGGATCCCTGTCCCCTACATGGGAAAGAGAACGGAGGCTAATTGGAGCATCACCAGGTATATAGGTCAAAATACTTAGTAGAATAGAATACTGTACAGAGGATGAATTTAAGTGGTGACTAGATTGGGATTACTTGATAATAGAATTGAATACAACTGTTAATAATTTGCACTAAATCCTTTTAAAGATTTACATTTCTCAGGAAATCTTTGGTATAGTGCTCTTAACCAGTCGGTGCATGCTGTTTCACAATGCTGTCCATGTGTTCTAAATGCGGAATAGGGAATGCTTATAATGAATCTTATGACCGAGCACCAGAAAGAGGTTACCATACATCTTCAGGAAGATTTTGTGGACCAGCAGAATTGCACAGAAATGCTCTAGATAGACCAGGTACAGTATCTGTAGCACTCTGGTCTTTTTTGTATTCTAGCAGTAGAAAAGGAGTGAACAGATATAGTGAAACAAAGTAGGTTGATTTAACACTTAGAAGTTCTGTACAATTAGGTGCTTGCATTAACAATCTTAGTGTTTAAATTTTCAATTACTGCCCAGGATTAATATATATTTTTAAGTTACCTTCGAACTCTCTATAGATGCACCATTGGTGATTATTCAGTGATCAAGGGCCATGCACAATATCTTGGAGATTTTAAATTGCAAAACTATTACAATGTCATTTGACTGGAGGCATTTACTAACAATATTCTTGGAATAGACTGAAGAGTAAATAAATATGCAAACTCATAAGAATAGTCTGTTAATAATCAAGATCAATCTCTTGCTTTTTCCTTAAAGTTGTAGAAATATTTTTGACTTCATCTAACCTATTTTAACTTCTTTCAAATCTTTTAAAAGTTCTAAAACATTTTACAGGCTTTTTCTTTCCACCTGACTCTCTCTATCATTCTTGGAGCTAGGAGCAACTTTTTATTTAAAAAGGAGGGATTTTGAAGTTAACTGAAAGTCCAGATAATTAAGATTTGACAGCCGCATCCTGGATTTTGCTATCCCTTACATATTGTTGTTGTATGTGGATGGCTGAGGCAGAATCTGCCAACAGGGAAATACGTTGGCAGCTCAAGGCTTAACCACATCCAGAAAAGTGAACTCATCTGTTGTGCTGTAAGAGCTCATTATTAGGCAAGAATTACTGCTGTAGTAGTTGAGAAGTTAAGGATGTCACTTCATCTACTTAACATGAAGTTTGGTTTGTACAGATGGTCGTCCACAGATGGAAATTAGAGAAATTTCCGATTCTTCTGTAGAAAATCAATTCCAGGGACGTGTAAGTTTAATCTTGCATAATTAAAATGCTTCTAAATGTTTTTTCTTTAAATCTGCCATTCCAATGTCCATGTTCTTGTTTCTACACTACTTGCTTTCTAAAACCATTACTGTAGCTAGAATACTATTCAGCTTACAACACCCCTAGGGATCTATTTTCTCTCTCCCAAAGGATTGATTTCATGGTCCTCACTCTCACCTGTAAATACCTTCATGCTCTAATACCTCCATATCTGTGTGATCTTCTGTTCCACTCGTTTGCTTTCCCCCTCCACTTGGCAAACTCAGGCTGCAGAGTCCCTCACCCACTAAACCATCAGTAATTACACTCCCAACCGCAATAATTCCCTACCTCTACCCCTCTGCCTCATCTGACACTCTATTTGATTTTAAATCCCTTCTTAAAAAAAACTTCTTCCTCCACAACTCGTCACGCTTCACCCTCCACCCTCGCCCTGCATCTGACGCCATCTTTGTAAAGTGCTATGAGATGTTATTCTACGTGAAGATTGCTGTATAAATACAATATGTTGGATTATGTTTCTTTGATGACACTACTCCCTGATTTTGTTCTGAGTATCAGATTTTGTTACTAGACATTAAACATTCATAATGTTCTCTACAGGGAATGCTCAATGCATCAAACCAGCCTCTCCGTGCTGAAGCCGAGTTTGGAGCTAGACCTGTTTTTGCACCCATCTCTCCGATGCGAAACCCCCCTTTGGCTGTTGATCCAAGAAGTCACATTCCACACAAGGTTCCATTACTTCCTCCACGGTGTGGAGTTTATGGGCCTCCAGAACATTTTCCACCAAGGCCTTTTGGTTTTCCACCACATCCGCCAATAGGAAGTAAGTAATTGACTCATGTTTCTGATTAGTGCAATTGTCTGCATGCAATAAGCCAGGAATAAATATACACAAGAAAACAGATCAGTTTCCTGTAATGTTGTCTTCATCCTCAAATGAAAACTTCCAATCTCTTCACCAAATTGGTTCTAGCTGATTTTGTAGATTTAAACCTGAGAAATTCTTTTGGCCAGGAATTAGGCCAATCATTCAAATGTTGACTTTTTACAGATAAAATATTTACCTCAAATATAAGTGAACTTCTAAAAGGTTTTGAGTGATTTAATGATTTGAGAACGATAGAAGAATGCGTGAAGTGAGCATCAGGCAAATAATTTATTTTAGGGTGAGTCGCTTAAATATTATCAGTCTTGTTGATAACCTCTAGTACCATTGGGGGTCACGCATTCAGCCACTACGCCCCGAAACTCTGGAACACTCTCCCTCACTTACCTCCGCCTTGTCCCCTCTCCTCTTTTTCAAGTTCCGCCTGAAAACCTTCTTTTTCAGCTGTGCTTAGTCACCCCCTGCCGCACCCACCCACCGGCTCGGAATCAGACTCCGCCACTGTTAAGCACTATGAGACGCTAGCTACCCTGCGTGGGGGCCACTATATAAGTGCAGGTTGATGTTGATGTGTTCATCAGTCAGATGTTATAAGTACATAAAAATAATCAATATTTTGTGCTTTATTTTCAGTGAGAAATCCCCTACCACCAGGAGCATACTTCCCACCATCTCAACCTAGTTTTCTTCCGAATAGACCAACCTCAGACAGTACAAGTGGCCTTCCTTTCCAGGTTCCTTCTCCCAGCTTGCCTCTTACAGAAGAGCATCCACCACCATCAGAAGAAAAATGAATGTCTGATTGAGAAGAACTACAGACCGAAATATACTTGTGGTTGGTGAAAAAAGGTGCAAAAATGAACATTAAGGATGCTAAGTACAATTGAGAACATTATGCATTATTTTTAATGCTGTTTAGCAAAGGTACTTTGTTGGTAGCATTGAATATTTAGTGATAACTTTCCACTATGTAATAAAGGCACATGAGTTTTTTTTTATATGTACTGTTTGATTAGAAGTACAGTATACATCTCAGGAGTCTTTCTTTGAAGTTTTAAAGAAATATACTTTTACTGTGCAATAATGTGAAGGTTAGCTTGCCATATTAGAGCAAGATTTTACAATGCACTATTTTATTTAAGGATTTTCTGTTTCTTACCAGTGCATTGCAGACAGAATATGTTCACTCTTAACAACACGGTTTTTACAGTAACAGTATTTGAACTGGTGCCGTTCTTTGTAACTAGAAGAAATGCTGTTTATGTGCATGTCCTAACTGGTGGTGTGTTTGTGCTTGGCTCCACTGATATAAATTGAAGATTCATAGTCTTAATATAAAAGGAATGTTTGAACATTCATGAATATGTAAATCCATTCAATGTTAAATATAGGAAAAACCTTTAATTTAGATTTAATTTCTCTCCTCTTCTGAAGGTGCCAACTCTTGCACTGGTTCCACTGACACTGGTAACCCTTTGGTATTTTGTCCAAATGGTCATTTTTCATGTGAGCCTAGGCAATGAACATTTTCAGGCTATTCATGAGTCAAAAGCTGATTGTTCTCACTAGATGTCAAAAGATAAGCACTTTCCAGCAGGGCTCATTCGATAGAGATCAGAGTCAGGGTGCACCCCACCCCCAGCTGTTTCTCCCTCCAATTAACATGACCCTCCTGCTGTTGCAGCTAACTGCACAGACCAAGGACTGAACCTACAACTTTCTGGTCTGTATGGCTTGGTGTTACACAGGATGTTGCCTTTACTAACTGTTATTGGGGAGCCCAGATGTTAGATGTTTAACTCTAGATGTGAAATTGTTTACAAAACATGAAGATATCTATATATTACAAATAAAGGTAGCCAACTAATGGATTTTAAAACTGACTGGTTCTGTGAATCATTTTATCATTGATTGCTTTTTGCTTTTGTCGAGCAGTATGAAATAATTTTTTTAAAAATTCCATAGAACTGAGACTAATTTTACTGGATATATATATCTAGGACATTTAAGTAAATTGGCAGATGTCACCCGTATGAGACAATGCAGCATGTTATAGCAAAACTTTTAGAACTGATGAAATCATGTATGCTGTTTATTTAGGTATGCCATGCATGCAATTTTCAGCTTTGGGGTAGGCCCAAAAATATTGCACGCAGAAGGGAACAGAATACAAGTCAAGAATCAACATTTTAAAGGAAATTAATTTGCAACCAATTTACTACAGCCACCAACAATGAGTTAATATGGTTCACTACAAACTCTGCCACTGAACTACAAAAACAGTTTGCATTCCACCTACACTTAAGGCACTATAAATGCATTTTTTGCAAAGTGTATGCAAGTTCCCAAATGCTGAACACTAAAAATTACATAAATAAGTCATTTAAATGCTTTATTGATAGATTGAAACAATCACCAGTCAACACAAACTTTAAACATTAATTTAAACAAACATTCAACTGCTTTCCTCACATTTTCTGTCAGTATTTCATATGATCTCATTCACTGATAAAATCTCACCACATCTGGCATCTTCATACACTGCACCAGTGGATCCACTCTACAGATGTACATATAATATCCGCATGGTAAGTGCATTAATCACTGGAGACACGCAACAATGCACACCTGTCAAAACGCATCATCTTTAACACAAGATGGTAAAACCGTTTGAAATCACGCATACTTTCTTCATAAATACAATTTTGACATAGGTTGCATACAGTAAATTTGTTTTACAAGCTTATACAAAGCAGCCAGGTCACAGCACTGCTGAGCAGCATGATGGCCACACTGAGTAATACTGGCTGTCCTTTACATTAAATGCACAACATTCGTACCACTTAAAACTAGGGTCAGGTGCTAGTCTCACAGAGACCACGACTGTACCCGCGGTTTGCCCTGAACATTGCGGCTTTTAAAGCCTCTTGCTTTAACAAGATTTTAAAAGTAAATCCTAGTGGAATGTTCTCAAAATCATAGCAGCAGCTCATAGCTTTGTTGGAAATGATTTTTTGTTATATTCACTATTCAGTGAACCAGGTGCACGTTCATTTAAGAGCTGTAACATTGTTGACTGAGTCACAGCACAGCTGTGTACCACAGGTCGAAAGTCAACCTTATAAACTAGTGGGTTCTGGCTGACCAGCCATTGGCCTGCCCCTGCCAGCATGTGGGCACTTCTTCATTCTGTTATCTTTGGCAGTTGACACAGGCGCTGACAGAGAAAATCCAGTGACTCTTGCCACATCTACTTCTAAACCAATACCAACTACATTTACAGATTAAGCAGGATACATATAAATATAACTAATACTAATTAAACAGCACATGTAATGGTTAACTCATTACTAATTTAACAGCACGTGTAAAGGTTAACTCATTACTAATTTAACTGCACGTGTGAAGGTTAACTCATTACTGAAAAAATGCAGAGCTCCCTTATACACAGACATTTTTGAAATGCTAAATGCCTTCACTGAAGCGCTGCATCTCCTTATGAAAGTAAAGAGTAGTCTCACTGAAAACAAAAAGGGGTTCATTATTCATCACTGGGTGCCACTGTTTTCCCAAACCCAAGGATACTTCCTCAATGAGCGTATCCACAGGATCACCATCCAGCTCAGGCATCACACCTTGATCAAAATTAATGCTTTCCTCTGTGACTTCCAGGACTCGCAGCCTACGTCCACGAAGTCGAGCTATAGCGATGAGGTTGTGGGCCCATGCTGTGTATCCTAGGTTGGCAATGAGAAAAAACACACATTACTAACAAGAATATTGTAAGAGTATACAAATGTCTGGAGCAATCCCTATGGCACAATGTTAAGCAGATTCCCATCTAAAATTTTGAAAAACTGATGTAAAATCAATTTGCAAGACAAAGACAACAGCAGCAGCAGTTAGTTCCAAGTCTGTGCATGAAAAGTAGTCCAGAGTAACAAGTTTATTGTTCATGCACAAAACAGTATTAAAAAGTTTGAATGAGCTTCATACACATGCAAAAAATGCAAAATGCAAAATAATGATGGAGGGGAGAAATTGAGGTTTGGTACACAATAGTGGGACAAAACATTACCCAGGCAAGCAAAAAATTTCACAGCAGCAAAGTACATAAATACATAGATTTAACCAACCAAAATATAATATACTACGATTCCATTAGACTGTCAAGACCTCCTCCAACCAACTTCGCACCCAATCAAAAAATATCTGGTTTCCAAACTTCCCTTCTAAAGCACTCAGAATATTAGAACTATTGTTGATCCGTACTGGCTGCTGTATTCTGTTACAGTACTTAAGTATATAAATTCAAGGCTTTTAATAATTAATGTTACTAACTTCCAGCTTAGAAGTAAATACAAACGTTACACTGTCAAAATAGTAGTGTAGATTCACCACTTACCATGAATTGAAAGGTGACAGAGCTTCTTACACTTCCATGCTAGCAGAACCAAGGGGTCTTCATTGCGGTTGGAACCCAGGTCCGGAAAGCCTTGCTCAACATCCTTGATTAGGAGGAGGTGGGTGAGAGACTTTGCGTACTGGCTAGCTAGGAGATCTACCACAGCTCCTGAAATATCATTAGTCGAGCTATCGAAGTGAATTCTCTCTAAAGGTATGCTGGGCTTCAGAATTCTTAGCAGGATGTCATTCCTGACATTAAAAGCCATGATGTAAACATGAAGGTTTGCACAGTGTCTGGTAAGCATTTTCCAATCTGCATCCTGGGGCACGTTATCTAACAAGTGTGTGTTGGACGTTGAGAGATGGTGAACCACAAGAGACAACCTATGCAAAGGCACATGGTTGCTGTTGGCAAGTACTCTTGTTACTTCAGCAGTAAAATCACAGAAATCCAATGCAAGCGATCGCAGACTGAGAAAGCGCTCCAGCTCAATTGCTTCAATAACTGGGGTTTTATTAATATCCAGAAGACTCAAGTGTTCAATGCAGTTGGCACTGGACTGAGGCAAGGCTGCTAGTGTTGTGGGGGTTAAGATCTCCAACATAAACCCGAGAGAGAGCCATTTCAGATGTTTGGAATTCCCCAATATTTCTTCAATCAGTTGCTGGATCCTGTAATAAAGAACAAAGCATTACAAATGCCACATTCTTAAATAGTGGCAGTTCAGATTTTATAATAGAATCCAACAACTATACTCTCAAAACAGGCAGCTTGGGATGAAAGATACTTTAAAGAATCAAGAAATCCTGAATGGATGAGACAGTTAATACAAGTAAAACAATGAGGCTCTTTAGTCAGAATAAACTTATCCTGTATTTAACTAATCCATTGGGATCCTTATTGCTTGCATTTGAAATAGCATTTTTCATGTCAGGAAGGCTTTCACCAGATATACTGTATAATGTTTGCAGTGCTGGTGAACTTGGTTCTTCAACTCAACAACATATACTCCAGTTGTGTTCTCTTGCCCCACATTCCCATACATTGTGCTCTGGGGAAGACCACAAAACGAGAATGGAGTTTGGGGGGGGGGGAAACAGGAAAAGAGGGACTTCCGCTGGAGATAAATCGGTGGCACCTGTGACTCAACAGAATATATTTAAATGTTGGATTTCTGTACAATTAATCATAACTGCAATTTTAAATAGAAAACAACTCAGTAATATTCGTATTCCTGGGTAGGACCGCAAACAGAATGGTAGGAAAGCACTTAATAATTTGTTTCACTATTTGCTCAAATTTCAAGATAACCAATTGACTTCTATTCTGCCAGAAAGTATAAATAAATACTTCAACATTCACTACTTTCGTTTTCACAAATTCCTTCTCAGCTCTGGTCATATAAAATACAAATGACATTTAGATCTCTAGAATCCCAGTAATCACGAGTAATTCAGATGGGAAATGGAGAGTATTCATTAAACACATTACAAGCATTGGAACAAGCATGTTATCAGAAGGCTCAAAAGATAATTTACTACATTGTTCATTAATTGAAAACAAAGGAAGTGAAACTTGAGACCAGTTCCTGATTTAAAATACATTTTTTAGATTAATACTTTGGTTGAAGGAACAAGCAGCAGGCAAACTGAAGTCTGATCTCTGCAAAACCTCCTGCTATAAAGTGGCGCCTGTTTCCTCAGTTGATGCTCCGAGCAATCTTCTCTCCTAGGGGAAATTCCTAACACCTTACAAACATCCTGCCAAAATAGAGATTATGAGACTGCAGGTGCAAATTCCCATCGCACCATTCCACGGCACAACAAGTTGATACACAAATGTGCTGCGCCAGGTTTTCCATATCTGCCGTAAGTTATATGCATCTGTGATTCTAACATAACCTTTTTCTGCAATAAAGCTGAGCAAGAGGGCAGGCACTTAACTGCAGCAACAAACCCCCAAATTTTTTGCTTTTAAAATCCTGCTGATGCACTTGCAATGGCTTTTTTAAAAAAAAGTTGCCTGGCCAGTGTGAAACTAGGCTAATACAGATCAAGTAGGCCCGAGGTTCAATCCTGATGCAAATGTCATGGTCCTACTGTGGACTTGGGGCTTTTTGGCAATGATTGGAAGTAAAAGTAAACACAAGGCTCCACTAACAAGCAACACCTGTCAAGATGTGAAACTAAGCTCACGTTTGAATAGCCAGTGGGGTAATGCACTTGCAAAACAAGTCAGCACCATCAGTAAAGTTGCAAGTAACAAATGACATATTTAACCACAGGAAGCTAGGTTCAGTTTCCCACACATCAAAATGTAATTTTTAAAAAAAATCTCAATAATACATATATATTCATTCTCCCACCACCCTTAAACAACTTATAACCAACACATCCAGTTCTTTCATACCTGTGAAAGTTGTAACAGTTATCAGTAAACAGGTAAGTATTTCTCAAAGTTGTTAATTCAAAATATATATTAGCCTCTACATCAGTGTACAGTTAAGTCAGGAAGTTGCCTCTTAAAAAAACCACATCCTTCAATATTGTGGGTAGACCAAGAAAGTGCATTTTTTAAAAACATATATACTTTGTACTGCATGTTCTACACATAACAAACCCTATAGCACACTATATGCTAGGAAACTTTACCTTTAAAAAGGGGACAAAGATTCCACTGGTATGAGACCTACATTTTTTTATAAAAAGCCCAGACCCGAAGAAATTATTGAGATCCCAAGAGATGAAACTATATTGCACCCATTTTCCATAACCGTGTAATACAAAACTATTTAGACAGTATTTAAAATCTAGTGTCACGTTACATTGACACTCCAAAATGGAGAACTTTGCAAATACAGTACTCCAGTCTTCTCGAGAGGGAAGTTTTCTGCATCACTTAAGGAAGCTTCCCTCAACAGTTAAATAAGTGACAATAAATACCCAGAGTACCCACGAGCCTCCGAGGAGTCCGTATTGTCCCAAACAGACAACAGTAGATTAAATAATTTTTTTTAAAAAAACGTTAACAGGGGCATTAAAGGCTTCTTAAAAGGCCAGTGCAATCGACGTACAACTTGCAACACAGAAAGGGACTTTCAAAATGCAATCAAGGTGCTTTTAAGGTCCTACCATTACTGCTCTTCGGGACCCGGTATTAATTATTCCCCCCTCAAATCGCGTGAAATTGCGCGGGAGGGCGGGGGGGGGGGGGTCGGAGAACAATAACAGACGGTAAATGCAAGCATTGCGTTACATCAGTTAGTCGAGCCAAGCTGTGGCTTCCCTCACCGAGTAGAGGCGATGCTCCAGCCGTGCACACTTACTCTTTCTTGTTTGGGGGAGGTTTTTGTTGATACCTTTACTCTGGTGGACGTGAAGCGGCGGCGATGATGATGGGGGGGGGGGGTCGGTAATATTAGAGGAGTTTAAGGTGTAACTTTGATACCTACTCGTGTGACTGTTTATCGTCCTGCTCCTGCAGGTACACGTCTCCGAACACGCTCAGCCTCTGCAGATTGCGGTTGCTCCTCACGCTCCTCAGGACACACAGCACCTCGTCCATGTAAGTCTTCAACGGCTCCGAGCCCGGGTCCCCTCCTCCTCCTCCTCCTCCATTGCCACCGCCACCACCGTCTCCCCCCGGCCCCAGCCCCAGCAGCGGGCTCTCGGAGCTCTCGAACTCCACCCGCAGCTCCCGCACGAACGAGCCGCACTTCTTCATGAGGAACTCGAGGCGGCAGCGCTCGCCGGAGCAGCCCCGCAGCCGGAGCCGGAGCTCGGGCCACAGGGACGGGTAGAAGAGACACTCCCGCCACTTGGTGCAGACGGACGAGGCCCGCAGCCTGTCCCAGGGCGATAGGAAGGAGAAGATGTGGACGATGACTTCGCAGGGCAGCGCGACGGCCGGGGCCGGGCCCCCGCACAGAGCCATGGAGGAGTCCAGGGGGAGGTGTGGGAGTGCAAAAGGGGCTGCTGTGCTTGGCCTGGGAGGGAGGGATGAAAGGATGGCTCGGCTACTCCCCGGGGAAAGGGGGAGGGGGATCGCTCTCTCTCTCTCTCTCGGAGGCCTACAGCTGCCTCAGCGCCGCCTTTTCATGGCTCCGCGCTCTGTCTCTGCTCTGCCTGTGGCTCCGAGTTGGTGGTGGTGGTGGTGGTGGAGGAGGAGTGGGGGGAAGGGAGGGAGGGAGGGAGAGAGAGAGAGAGAGAGAGGGGGGGGTGGGGGTGGGGAGAGGGAGGTGGCCTGGCACCGGAAGCGGCCTGGCCTCGCGGGTGGGCCGGGCGCACTGCTCCCCAGGGAGGGCCTCTCACCGAGCCAGAGCCCGCGCGCAGACGCCTCCTACCGAGCGCCACGACCGTCTTCCTCTTCTCTTTCTTACTCTCTCTCTCTCTCTCTCTCCTCACCACCACCACCCCCAACTCGGGGGTCGGGGGGGGGGAAAAAAAAATACCCCGGCGGCGACGCCCCGCTGTCCAGCAGCGGGTTTTCCCCGGCGTTGGCCTCCTCCGACGCCGCCTGTCGCTCGCGCTCCACCCTCGGCACCGTTAGAGCCGCTCGCGAGCTGTTTACAAACTGCAGGCGCGGCTCACGTGACTTCTCTCCCTCCTCACCCCTCACCCCCCTCGCCCCGCCCCTCACCCCCCCCCCGCCCCTCCCCCTTCTCAGAGCAGAGGCACTCGGGCTCCCTTCACAGTACAGCATTATTAATAATAATGGTAATAGTAGTCACAGTAATCCTCGCCGTTGATAAGAGCGACCTCATCAAGTCGTTGAGACGCCTCCCAAGCGTTTCACAGGGTATACTGGTTTCGCCCGCAAAATGCAGTCAATCCACTTTTGAGTGCTCTTGAGATGTCTCAGCGATATGTAAAATGCAAGGATTATCATTGTTATTATTACTGGAACGTAGATTGACTTGACTATTCCGTTCGTTAAAAAATGCGGCAGCCAGTTGACGCGCTACAACGTCCCACAAACAGCCGTGGAGCGAGCGACCAGTTTTATTAGGCCCCCACATTGTGGACCAACACACCAGGAGAGACTCCCTTTTCTGTTCAAATGGTGCCAGGGTTTTTTTAACATCTACCTGAACAGGCAGGTGAGACCTCGGTTTAACGTCTCGTCTGAAGGATGGCACCTCTGATAATGTAGTGTTTCCTCTTGACAGGATTGGATTGTCAGTCTGGACTGTGAGCTGCTACTAGCGAGAGTACCAACCTTTAAGTTAATGTACATCGACCTTCACCTCAAATTGAAGAACAATCTACGAGTCGAAGGTCAATGTACATTGAAGGGAAAATCAATTTGGATTAAAGAACTACATCTTCACTGAGACAACGATGTGCCTTACGGCACAGCTCCCAGTAAATACGTTCGCTGTATCTGTTCTCCACAATACACTTTCAGGCAGGGGCAGTGACGAGGTACGGACAATCTGATTCACGTCTCCGGGTTCAGGAGCTTTTAAGACCCATTTGTAAAGCCCCAACGTTTTTACCCTGACTGAGATCGGGTAAGACAAGTGATCCGTCCATCTCATAGCTTTCAAAAGGGAACTGGATAGATACCTGAAAGGAAAGGGGGAAAAAAAGTTGCAAAGAGCGGGGCCAGTGGGTCCAACCGAATAACAACAATAATAATAATAATGCTCTTGCAAAGAGCTGGCACAGGTTAGCATGGGCTGAATGGCCTCTTTCCGTGTTGTGGGATTCTATCTTGGGTCTCTTTGCAGTTTGCACCTTTCAGTAAATGATGAACCCGGAAATCGACACCCCCCCCCCCCCCCCGCCCTTCCCCTCCCCCTCCCCATTTGCTGGCAGTGCCGTGTGTACAGTGCAGCTGGAGCAGACGTGTGCACATTTCTGTACCCGAGGGGCCGGTCTTCATTGTTGACCGCGAGGCTGTGAAGAGCGATGTGATTTGCTTGGGCTCTGGTGAACTCCGGGCAAGTGTTTGCGTCGGCCAGTGGTTTGGGCCGAGCTGTCATTTGCGCTGCGTTTTCGAGTGAGGCAAGAAGGCGGCGGAGGGGCGGCGGCGGTGGGCGAGGGAGGGAGGGAGGGGTGGGGGGGATCGCAGCAAATGGCGAAGAAGTTACCGGGACTCGCCCTGTACTTGGCGCACGGGAATGTCCTGACTGCCGGCAACATGGACTCGGAGAAGGTGAGGTGGTGGTGGTGGTGATGGTGGTTTGTGGGGAGGGGGCGGCTGGGCAGGGCAGGGGCAGGGCTGGGCTGGGGAGCGCCGTGTGGGGGCTGCTCGTTCAAATTAAGACCGGGGCTTATGCGGGCGGGCGGCCTGGCCGGGCGATCGGTTGCTGTCAGGGCTGTGACGGGGCCCTCAGGGGGCGAGAGCCCGGGGCCGCCGTGTGATCGGCCTCCCCCGGGGCCGCCGTGTGATCGGCCTCCCCCGGGGCCGCCGTGTGATCGGCCTCTCCCGGGGCCGCCGTGTGATCGGCCTCCTCCCGGTGAGAGGGGACAGGAGCCGCGCTGGAATTGCCGGATCCAATACGTCGGATTACAACAACAACAACAACAACAATAATGGCCGCAGATCAGCACCAGAGAAACCACCAACCAGTGCTACTAATAATGTTGGGACCGGGATCAGATCCTGGGTCATTGCTCCAGGCTCCTGCTCTGGGTCATCTTCGGGGTCTGGGTCACCGGGTTAAGTAAATAATACCCCATCATAAATAATCCTCGCAAGATGATGTAGCGCCTTATCACGTCGTCGGGGCGTCTCAAGCATATCATATGCTTCATACCGATGTACTGTAAACGGCGACGACGACAAACCACACTTGTAAACACCCCTTCGCGTCGGAACGACGTCCCAGGGCACTGGGCAGTCGGGGCATTTCGGACCCGCGCTGGGAGTTGGGGGTCAGGAAGGGTGGCGGGGCAGGGGGTTGGGGCGGCTGAAGGCACGTTTTAAGAGGAAGGTCTTTAGGTGGGACTTGAAGGAGGCAAGAGAGGGGTGAGGCGCAGGGGTTGCAGGATAGAGTTCCAGAGTGTGGGGGCAGAGATGCCGAATGCCCGACCGCCGGTGGTGGAGCGGGAAGTACAGGGGACCTGAAGCAGTCCGGTATCCGCCAAGCGGAGGGAGCGGTCAGGCTGATGTGCAATTAGGATGTCGGAGAGGTGGGGGGGGAGCAGAACAGCCGTTATCTGTTATTTCAGATCTTTCAACCTATTGCCGCTTTGCTACTATGGAGCAGCAATTCATGTTTCTAATCTCGTTTCCTTAACTTTTACCCATATCATTTAGTACCGGTAACTTCTCAAGTAATGCTTCTTGGAAATCTGCCTACCCCATTTGAAACCTCATTTGAGTCCGCGTCTCTGGCTTTCTGCAGTGTTGTTTCACATTGTTATAATAATAATCCTTGTTATGAATTTGTGTGTGAAGTTACAGGCAACTGGAAAATCATTCGAGTGTGTGGAACTTGGAGATGTGGGTACAAAAAAGCAAAAGGTTCCTCGGAAAATCATTCACTTTGCCAGCGGAGAAACTATGGAAGAATACAGCACAGATGAGGAGGCTGGGGAAATTGAAAATAGAGACTTGTTGCCTGCGATTGACACTGTAAGGGCAAAGTCCATCTAACGGTCTTGTTTTTTAAATTGTAAGAAATAGAGAAAAAAAATCATAGATTTTAATAATGATTTACTTTTTTTCGCAGAGTCAGCTTACATGGGGGCCATACCTCTGGTTCTACATGCTGAGAGCTGCTACAGGAACATTGTCAGGTATGTGAATGAGCGATTGAGTTGAACTGGATCGGATTTTTTTTTGCCACATTGATATCCCACAGCCATTTAAGTTGGACTTTGGAGCTTCTTACTTTGTAGAAAAGACATAATTTCAACAGCTGAGTGCTAACCCCCACACCATACTTCAATAGCCTGCAGATATATTCTTTGTGCTTTAAGAAGTCTAGAAGACGTGAAAAGCACTGTATCAAATGCAAGGATTATTATACATTCACATTTGGTGGTATCTTGGACAAGGTACAAGAGAGCAATTGTGAAGTTGTTTCCTATGATGAGTACATACCTTCCAGACAAGGGTGAGGAGGAGTAAGGGCAGTGATAAGTGTATCTACTCTTATTCCTCAGGCATGCAGCTGAGGTTTGTGGTTTATATTGAAATGTCCATTCCCTGTAACACATTGATCTGTTTTTGAAATATTCAAGTACAAATAGTTTGAGATCTTGTCTTTTTGATGAAATCTTACATCCAGCTCCTGTCTGCCTGTCTCAGATGCACTGTTGCGATCCCAAAATGATACTGGAAAAGGGAAAGGAGCTTCCCTACGTATGGGGCCTTGCTTGATGTTGACTGGCTGTCGTGTTTGTCTAAAGAAACAATCATTACATCTGACAATACTTTGCTATGAAGATGCTTTAAGATGTTTAAACGCTATAGGTGAAGTAGAAGCACATGAAGTAGAAGGGTTATGGAGGGAGTCAGGAGGTGGAAATTTGTTAACTAGCATGGACTAGTTAGGATAGTCCTGTACAATCTATGTAAATTGTTGAACTAATCTTCACTGTAGATTGATTATATATTTGTTTTTATATATAGTATGTGACTTCCTGGGAGAAAGGGTAGCTTCCTTGTTTGGTATAAATACACCAAAGTACCAGTACGCTATTGATGAATACTACAGGATAAAGAAGGAGGTAGGTGAACTGCACGTGTGAAAAGAAATGGCATGTATAAACTGAGCTGAACTTACAACATTCTGTTGCAATCTTTATACAATAGAACCCTAAAAAGGAATGTTATTCATTTTGTTGTGAAAGAGATGTAATTCTATTGCGACTCCAGGGCAACCTCGTTATAAACACTGTTCTCTGGTTCTGACAGCCCAGAGGCCACACTATAAGCAAATTGCTAATAAACATAGCCAACTTACAGGTCACTGCTGCTATTTACTGCAAACTATACGCAAGAGGTGCCACTGACATTGCTTCTTGCACATATTGTGCATGCAAAGTGCCCAGCAAGGTAAATCACTGTCTCTCCCTGCAGATAGCATGCAAAAGGTGACGTCATTGGTGATCTGGCAAGTTAGTAGTTGCCCATTGTTTATTGTAGGAAGGCAGCTATTCATCATGGTCCACAGTAGATACTGTAAGTGAGGCAGTGCTCAATGGGGGTAGGGGGGTATAATAGAGCTCCCTTGTTTATCTTTCATAACATAACAAATACCAGTTATACTGTATTATGATGTGACCAAGTTCATTGTGATTTCTTAAATGATCTAAGATGGAGTGGTGGATCACTCGCCTAAAAGCACTTGGAGAACAACACATAGCATTAACTTCAGAATAGTGTTAGAATCCTGTATTGTAGAATACAACGTCACAAGTGGTTTTTGAAAGTTTGTTTCAGATCATTGTGTTTTGAGCTGTAAGTAATGTCAATCAAATCATTCATATCTTAAAAATGTGTAAATGTTGTGGCAGGAAGAGGAGGAAGAGGAAGAAAACCAAATGTCAGAAGCAGCTGAAAAACATTACCGGGAACAAATGGAGAAGCAACAAGAGGTGATCAGTTCACAAGACAGCCTGCCGGCTGCTAGCCCTTCGTTTGTCAATGTTGGCTTTGAAATAGAAAATGAACCAACAAATATAACGGAAAGTAAAGCAAGACGGGATTCTATCCCAGCTTAGAGGAGGCCACAATAGGGAAGATAATGCAAGGACCAACCTCCTCTCCTCCCCCTTCTGAATGAAATAAATATGCCTTAATTTACCGGTGGTTCTAAAATAAACAAATGCAATTGTGCCTTGAAATTAACATCAGAAGATGAACCCTTTTGTCCCTTAAATTTACTTTTTACATTAAAGTTACTTATGATGCACCTCTGTTTATCACTTTTGAAGTAGAATCTTGTATTATTAACAATCCTTGCGTTTGACATAGCGCCTTTCCCGCCAGGAAGTTGTCTCAAAAGTGCTTCACAGGATGTACTGTAAAGTGTAATGACTGTATTTGCATTGTTTGAGACATAGTTATTTATTTGTAGTATGATTAACTGTTCTTTATAAATCTAATCGAATCCACTCATTTTTGTAAACTGAAAACTTTAATAAAAATGTATGCAAACTAATCAGTTTATTTTACATTATGTACAATTTATATAAATTCATAACAACTTGCATTTATATAACGCCCCTCATGCGGGGTAGCGTCGCAGTGTTTTACATTAATATAGCGTGGGACTGGTCAGGGTTGGAGAGGGCAAATTTGGTACAAGTGCTCTTTACAAATGAGGCTGCATCGGCTTTGTACCTTCAGGGTGGAAAATTGTCCCCAATTCCATTGACAGAATCATGAATCATCCAGATCAGCACCACTATCATTGTCGTTGGCAACAAGAACTTCTCGGTTTTCATAAGTCCAAAAGCCATTTAGATCAATCAGTATGCTGCTGACAGTGTCGCCCTGTCCACTATTTATCAAATCTGGAAGTGTTATTTTATATGGGTCTTTAGGCTTGACCATGTCGAAGATTTCATCCTGCAAAATCAAACAACTTATTCAGTACAAACTTAATTATTTTTTAAAATTCAATTTCCAATTCTTTTCCCCTTTAAAGAATTCATACTTCTTCAGTACCAAAGTTCCCCATTCCCCCAAATAACTCAAATACCTTGACGTCTTGAAAAGAAACTGCCTCCTGTCCATGAAGTTTCATTTGCTCCTGGATAGCCTGTTGTAAATATAAATCTGTGTGATCATTCACATTACAGAATTAATGGTTGAGGGGAAATAGGAAGGGAGTGAGAGAAAAGCGAAAATTGGTTTCTAATGTGCAAACATGTACCTTTTGCATGTACATTCATTTGTTTTGCCATTTGCTACAAAGTACATTTTTTTAAAAAAATTTAACTTTTCAATAGTTGTTGACTATGTCCTTAATGATCCTACAGAAAAACAAACCATGACTCATACAATACTTCACTCAATCCTTGTACATCAGTATAAGGTTATGAAATAAATTCCAAGCCAACTAGGTAAAACTACAAGCACTCACCCTGAAGAAGAAATTGAGAGAGAAAACATTAAGATAACCCTTATTTTCCATATCCAGTAGTTTGAAGATATACTGGAGGGCAGCAGGTTCTTTACGGTTCTCTAAAGCAAGAACAAAGTCCAGGTAGGTCTTATAATCCTAAAAAAAAGTAATGAATTTTAAAAGCAGCAATTTGCCTTTATATCTAAAAGCATTTCAATACATTCCAGCCTGGCATTTATATCATCCTTCATATGCAGTTTGTGCTTGAATGGCCTAACTTCTGATACAGTGAGTTATCTAAATCCTTATAAATACTGTAATCACAGTGAAATGGTAGTGTCTGCTCTATTGGTTAAATAATTTGTGTACCTGTCATCAGGTATCTGTTGGCAACTGATGAAAAGTTAGCTGTACAAAAATGTTTGGGTTCAAAGTTTTGAGAAAGCCACAGCCCAGAAGGTTGCAGGTTTGACCGTTTGTATGTGTCATTAGATGAACTCAGCTGGAGTGACAGTAATGGTACTACAATTTACCTCAGTGACCCTGGGTTAGGGAGGAAAAAGAAAATCAAGCCAATGTTCCTGCTACACTCATCAATATCTGGTTACTTGAAAAATTTGCATGTGTGAATGACATGTAAGAGCAAGTTGAATCTCAGTTGCAGTGCCCTCAGTTATATATTATATACAGAATTGAAATTATTCACTAGTGATTACCATTTCGCCATCGTAGGTTAGACACTCTTGGAAAACCCTATCCAGAAAGACACTTGTCAGAGTTCCTGTGCCGTAACGTGACAGCTCTTCCTTGCTGAGCATTCCATTGTGATCTTTGTCCAGGTTCAAGTACTGACCTAAATTGTAAATAAACAAATAATTGAATTACATAGTCTTAACCGCAGTGCAAGCTACACATTCTATTTCTGCAAACACATACCGTATACCCTTAGTGCAGATGGAGCTGAAAACCAGTTTGATTCTTGACTTTCCTTAGACAATTCTTCATCTCTCAGCTTCAAATACAAAACACAGGGACAAAAAGTTAGATTTGCTAAATATGTCACAGTTAGAATTCAATTTGTGTTCATAGTTGATCATTTACCTCCAACAAGTCATCCAAGAAGCTGCAAGCTAGAATATCCTGGATTTTTATTTTACCTAGAAGAATTTTAAAAAGTGAGAAGCAGGCGGTTTATATTGAATCACTTTGTCAAGTATTGTACAAGCTGAAGAGTTAACACATTGTTCTCAACCTTCTGGAACCTGGGTTGAAATTCAGTGTAGATGGACATGATTAAAGCTTAAATGTTGTGTGAAGCGAATAACTAATTTTAATCCAGAGTATGGATCTAAAGTGCAAAATTACCCAACCAGGATAGTATCAGCAGTTAGACCCGTCCTGGTCCAAATCCCTGACTGTCCAACGTCTTGGGACGTCCTCCCAATGTGAAAGGCGATATACAAATGTAATTTGTTGTTGTTTTATGAAATGGATTTGACTGTTTTAGGCGTCAAATCAGCATTCAGATACATCTCAGCAGAGGAGAGGGGGGAGCAAATAAAGGCTGAAATATTTCATTTCTGACAGAAAGGCAGTGCTACTGTCTTTGTATTGTTTGTGAGCAGACATCAACTCACCTGTTCTGAGTGGGTCAAGGAAGAAGAAAAACTTCCTAACTGCAGTGCACACATAGAATGAATAGAAGGACTTTTCCAGGCCATCAAGTTGTGGTAAGGTTGGAATCAGCTCCAAAATGTAATTCTCTAAATCCTGTAGATGTGTTTCAGCAGTATTAACATACCAAAGAATATAACACATGGTATTAAAGTGAGCGTTAAGCTATCCGATCGGAAACAAATGTAGGATAACTCACGGATTCTCGAAGATATCCTTGACCCGCCACATCATACAGACTGAGACCTATCCTCGTCTGATGAAGCCAGACTAAAATGTGAAGAGAATGAGATCGTTTTGTTGTAAATAAATTAGGATTCTTAACAGTATTTTACTTTGATTAAAGAAACACAGGATCAATGACCAGTTTGATACCTTTGCGCATCACATAGTTGAAGAATTGCATTATAGAAATCCTTCCATATGGGTCATTGTGCAAGAGCTTGGCAAAGACCTTGGCTGGAAAGAATTGTCTGTTGGATGATATAAAAACCAAATTAGCTAGAACAAGAATATTTGAAAATGCCATTCAAATAATTATAAAAAGGAAAAACCCTGAATCAAAAAGTGCAATTTTCATCAGAGATTTCAGAACAGAAATGAACCCACAACATTTGAACAAAGAATGTATTTCCTTAGTTCAAATTCTCTAGTAATTCAGATAAACAGCTGTTGTTACAGAATACTTACTTGCATTTTTGTCCTGCTTTTTCCTTAACTTTCAAGAAGCTTTCGTAATTTATCATTGCCTCCTCCCCTATCAAAGGAGGAGTCTGATGTTTGTCCAATAAAAACCACAAATTCTGCAAAAGATTTTTATAGGAAATAAATTGAACCACTTATTATACAATTAAGCCCAGGAGAATGGACTTCTAACAATTTTTCTAATAAATTCAATTGCCAACAAAGTTGTTCCATATTTTCTTACCTGTAGTTCTTCATTATCCAGCAGTTCTCTGCTCTTTCTTTGAAGAAAAACCGCCCTGGACTCTTCTCTTAATTTCTGCAACAAAATTTCATCCTCTGCTGGAAGCTGAAAAAGGGTCGGAATAAAAAGTGACAATATTGTCCACGTCTTCTTGAAATACATCTACTCATATTGTGACATAATGCTTAAGCCATGTTTACTCCACAGTGAATATAATATATATTCAATTATGGAAAAACAACCAACCATGGGATAATGCCAATCAAACAGTCAAATCTGGATTCATTTCAAAATAAGAACCTGTAGAAGGACAGTGGCTTCAGGATTATTCCATTTATAAAAATGTAAACATGCCAGTAACTCACACCAACTTTGCCTTTCAAGTTGCCTGGGTATTCAAAACACACAATACACAATATGGCATTGATTCGATTTCACATCTGTGGCCTGGCTCACCAAAATTAATTAGTATGGAGTTTGAGCTCCACTGTGTACATTGAGCTCTGTGAGCTGTTTAAAGAATTTAAACCGAAAGCAGAGTTGACAATGGTTAAATAGTTTCTTTGTTTATGCTCACACGTGACCAACTCCGAATGACATATCGGAGGGTTGCTGGCACCCATGGAACCATACCCTAGCAAGAATCACCACCTTCAGGAAAGGAAGCAAGAGAATTGGAAAAAGAAGTTTTACCAAAGAAAATAAAATAAACTATAAAGAACCAACATCAAATACCAACCTTATAATAAAATCTTGGAATGCTTTTGTAGGACATATTGCTCTTTTTCCTGCCACCTCTCCACTCAACATAGTACTGAGTGAAAAGTTCCATCTCATTTTCCCCAAGTTCTTGTTCTGAATTTTTAGCTGTTTTATTTTAAGAGAAAATATTGAATTGTTTAGGAGTGATCTCTGAATCAAAATCAAAGAGTTAATTCTATTCTACGTGAAAACATAGGTTATTATCTGTTCAAAAAGGCTATTAATCAAGAGTAAACAAACAAAACCATATTTAAGATATCCATTGAATAGTTGTTGTTTAAACATATACTGACAATGGAATTATGATCATCATATTGATCTATGGGAGACCATATAATCATCTGTTAGGAATAGCAATCTTGATCGCTGATGAAAAATTCAGTTATTGGGATAATAATATTGGGATTGGGAGTTTTTGGGATGTACAATATCCAGGCCTGACAAGTAAGGTGGTCGAGTCAGGGTTTCAGAGAGAGGTAGATCACAACAACTACAACAATTTGCAACCTTCACTCAGGATAGCGTGTTGGAGCGCTCTTCACTCAGAGCAGTGTCAGAGAGTTGAAGGGGAATGAGGATAAGGCAGGACAGTGGGTTTGAATGGACACCTTGCTCTGAGATTTGGTGCAGACTGGATGGGCTGAACAGCCTCCTTCTATGCTGTAAATTCTACGATTCTAAATGCAGATGATAACGTTAAGAAACTGTACAAAGGCTGGATCAATTGTTTGATGGTGAAGAACAAACACAAGCCTGAGACAAGAAAGTTACTTGATCTCCCCTCTCCCCAAGGCAGGAGGCCGCCCTCGGTACACTCACGGCTCTGGGCAGCAGGATCGGGGCTCTCCTGGGTCTGGGTCGCCGTTAGGCGGTTCCTCAGCATCTGTTTCCAGTCCATGGTAGCTCCAACTGCAGCTCCGCAGCCCAGTCAGTCACCTCTGATCCACAGATGGTACCTGGAGAAGGAATCATAGAGAGAGTCAGGCACAGCCACGTAGTGACACAAAGACTGAGAGAATCACCGAGAGACATACAGTCAGGGTCACAGAGACAGAGTCAGTGACACAGAGAAATAGACACACAGCCAGGGTCACAGGGAGACATAGAGAGTTACAGAGCGACGTAGACAGAGAGTTACAGAGAGAGAGAGACAGACAGAGAGAGTGACACAGAGAGACAGAAACATACATTCAGAGAGTGACACAGAGATTGAGAGAATCACTGAGAGACATACAGTCAGAGACACACAGAGACCAAGTCAGTGACAAGAGAGACAGAAACAGAAAGAGGCTCAGAGAGAAACAGACACACAACCAGAGTCACTGAGAGACATAGAGAGAGAGAGTTACAGAGAGAGACAGAGACACACAGCCAGAGATACAGTGACAGAGTCACTGAGAGACATAGAGAGAGTTACAGAGAGAGACAGAGACACAGCCAGAGATACAGTGACAGAGCCACTGAGAGACATAGAGAGAGTTACAGAGAGAGACAGAGGCACACAGCCAGAGATACAGTGACAGAGCCACTGAGAGACATAGAGAGAGTTACAGAGAGAGACAGAGACACACAGCCAGAGATACAGTGACAGAGTCACTGAGAGACAGAGACACAGCCAGAGATACAGTGACAGAGTCACTGAGAGACATAGAGAGAGTTACAGAGAGAGACAGAGGCACACAGCCAGAGATACAGTGACAGAGTCACTGAGAGACATAGAGAGAGTTACAGAGAGAGACAGAGACACACATCCAGAGATACAGTGACAGAGCCACTGAGAGAAACAGGGTCACAAAGTAAGAGAAACACAGAGACACACACAGGAGAGTTGGGGGTGAAGCCTGAGCGGGATCCTCGCCCTCTCTCTCTCTCACACACACACAGACAGACAGACACACTCCAGCGGCCGCTATTTACCGCTCAGGCTCTTGAACGCCGAGGACGGGGCCGCCGGCGCCATGTGGCTTCGGCTCTCGGGGCGTGTGGCGCGGCCGCCGTTTGGTGTCAGCGGCCTGTCCGCCTGGCCCAGGCCTGTGTCTGACACCAAACAGCAGCGCGACCGGAGGGAGAGGGAGAGGGAGCCCGGGAGGGGGGAGAGGGAGCCCGGGAGGGAGAGGGAGAGGGAGCCCGGGAGGGGGGAGAGGGAGAGGGAGCCCGGGAGGGAGAGGGAGCCCGGGAGGGGGGAGAGGGAGCCCGGGAGGGGGGAGAGGGAGAGGGAGCCGCAGGCCCGGGCGGCTGCACCCTTTTCTCTCTTCGCCGCCGGCGCGGCCAGAGAGCGGGGGGAGCTGAGCAAAAGCCGGAGCAGAGAGGCGCTGAGCGGAGAGGACGGCCGAGCCCGGGGCCGGGCCCGAGCCCGGGCCGAGCTGCCCAGAGGGCCTCTGACAGCAGAGGAGTGGGCAGAGCTGAGGGCCAGATGGCCGCAGCGCAAGAGCCGCTTCGAGGTCGGCGTGATGGAGCGGCTGCTGTCGACCGGCGGCGACCTGGACGTGGCCAAGTCCTTGTTGGCTTTCGCGGCCGCCCGGAGCCACGGCGACAGCAATGGCGGCGGAGGCGGCGGCCTGAGTTACGAGCTGCTGCTCAAGTACCTGGCGCTGTGTGTGAAGGGCGGCCACGGAGCCGAGGTGGGCGACGTGTACCAGATCCTGAGGAGCCGGTTTAAGGCCCTGGACACGGGAGCTCACAGCCTCCTCATCAGCGGCTTCAGCCCGACCGAGCGCTGGAGGGAGGCCGCGGCCTTGCTCGACGCCCTCAAGCGGCTGGTCACGCCGTCGGCCAGGAATTACGGCGACGTGATGGCGGCCGCCCTGAGGCACGGGGAGGCGGAGACGGCCTGGGCGCTGTACCGGGAGATGGTGGAGGGCAACGGCGGCAACGGCAACGGCGGCAACAACGCCCGCCCCCGCCTGAGGCCGAGCCAAGAGACCCTGCAAAGCTTCTTCGACTGCTGCAGACCCCCCCTCCAGCAGCACACCGAGCACACGGCCAAGATCCACGCCATCCTCTCCTACCTGAGAGACGGCCACGAGTACCCCGGGGAGCGCGCGGTGCACAGCATCAGGCTCTGGTTTGAAAGGCGAGTCGTTTCGTTCGCTGCCGCGTCCTGAGGTTTATTGTTGTTGTTGTTGTTATTATTTTTTAAAAAGGTGGGAGAGGGGGTTTGTTTGTTTGTTTGTTTGTTTACCTGATGTCACTGTGTGGGCGGAGCGGTTCCTGTAGTGCGGAAGCCCCGCGGCTGTGATTGTCTGTCTTGTGCGTCTCTAAGTGTGTGTGTGTGTCTGTCTCTCCTCTGTGTGTGTCTGTCTCTCCTCTGTGTGTCTGTCTCTCCTCTGTGTGTGTCTGACTCTCCTCTGTGTGTGTCTGTCTCTCCTCTGTGTGTGTCTGTCTCTCCTGTGTGTGTCTGTCTCTCCTCTGTGTGTCTGACTCTCCTGTGTGTGTGTCTGTCTCTCCTCTGTGTGTGTCTGACTCTCCTGTGTGTGTGTGTCTGACTCTCCTGTGTGTGTGTCTGTCTCTCCTCTGTGTGTGTGTCTGTCTCTCCTCTGTGTGTCTGTCTCTCCTCTGTGTGTCTGACTCTCCTGTGTGTGTGTGTCTGTCTCTCCTCTGTGTGTGTCTGACTCTCCTCTGTGTGTGTGTCTGACTCTCCTGTGTGTGTGTGTTTGTGAGTGGTCTATATGTGTGTGTTTATGAGTGTCTCTGTGAATGTGTATGTGTGTCTCTCCTCTGTGTGTGTGTGTGTGCGTCTTTGTGTCTATGAGTGTGTGTATCTTTCTTTCTGAGAATGTGTGTGTGTCTGTGTGTGTCTCTCTCTTTCTATCTGTCTGTTTGTGTCTCTCTGGGTCTCTGTGTCTGTGTCTTTCAGCGCCTTGGGACCTCCTCCCGACGTGAAAGGCGCACTATAAATGGAATCTTGTTGTGGTTGTTGTTGTTGTGTGCAGTGCTGGGCCCTGAGAGGCAGGAGGTCGTGAGCTCCTGTCGCCCTGCAGTCAGGACGCTGGACCTGAGTGACTTTTTTGGTGGATCTCCAAGCCCTTTGGGCCTGCGCTGAAATATCCATCAATAGCACCAATCAACTTCCAGCAATTTTCAGCAACATTTGTCAAATTTCCCTGCAATTTCTTCAAATTTCACTGCAATTTTGGACAAATATTTCTGCACTTTTCGATTGGCCCAGGTTATACTCCCTCGAATCAACGGCTGTGTTATGGGGAACGGTTGTGCTCAATTGGCTGCCAAAATAGGCGCTACATCAAATGCAAGGATTATTATTATCATCTCCCAAAGGTGCCAACCCGTACATGATTTGACAATGCTTTGAGTAACTTGCTCCTCTTATGCATCTCATATGCATTATTTACTTTGATTTTTTTTTCTACGGCAGTATTGAGAGGAAATATTTGAAGCAATATACTATAATAATAATCCTTGCATTTGATATAGTGCCTTGTCACATTGTAAAGACATCTCAATGTGCTTCACGGGATGTACTGTAAAGTGATTTGACTTTATATTTTAAGGTGAGATTCAGCAGCCATGTTCCACAAACAGACGTGGAGTAAATCATCAATTTTACTTGGGGGATTGTTGTTAATGACACCAGGAGAAACTCCCATCTTTACTCATTACTTGATTCCCCTTAAAAATTAAGTTTACATTTCACTGCATTTTTGCTTTTGACTTAATGGAGCTATGTTTTCATTGCAGCATTCCAGATGAAAAATGGGAAGGGCGTTACACCACCATTTCGAATAGGTAGGTATATTTGAAAGCGCCTACTATCTTTGCCGAACTTATGAATTCTACACGGAATTTATGAATAACTACAGTTTTTTTGAAAAAAGCTGCAACAAAAATAACTATCATTGTCCCAGATCTATTTCAACTGCAATTGTATCCTTTTTAGCATAACCTTTAAGAACCTAGATCAACAGTTTAGGTATTTTCTGTTGAAAGACAAACATCCAAACACTCTTAGCTTTCTTGTTATAATGGAGGGATTGGTTTGCCAAAATATTTGCTTCATTATTGGCTTCCTGGATTTGCCACCTTCTTTTATTGGATTGTTTCCATCTTCAGAACAACAATGGACACTTCTGGAAGTTAGAATACCAACTGAACTATCCTTCACTGGCATCTCCCAGTTCCATCCGTGAATTTGAGACGCATTACAGATCTGGAAAAATATAATGTCCAAATATGAGTTAAGGACTGAATAATGCAAAGAGAGAAATTAAAATGAGAAATATAAGGAAATTATAGTTTACTATTTACACTGCTTTATGATTTTTGTCTGAACTGTCAGTTATTTTTCAGTGTGGTCAATTACTCCCAGGTTTTCACCTTTGCTTTGTGAAACTCATCAATTTGAATATTTTATTTCAGTGGGAAATGCCGTAGCTGTAACACGTTGCTGGAATCCATTTCCTTGAGTGAAGAAGAATATAGTGAACTAAGAAAGCGAGTGTTGAACGATGTTATACAAGGCAATGATGTTTTTAAGAAGACTACTCCTCTGGTAAGTGGTATACCATCTCCCAACTCCGCCACTACCTCAGACTGCTTAAACACTTGTTCATACCTTCATCACCTCCAGGCTCGACTATGCAAACGCCCTGCTTGTCGGGCTTCCCAACTCCTCCCTCCACAGGCTGCAGATAATCCAGAACTCTGTAGCCCGTGTCGTCTCCTGCACCAAACTCCATGACCCCATCTACGCCATTCTCACCTGACCCCATTGGCTCCCTATCCTTCAGAGGATCCAGTTCAAAATCCTGGTCTTCACCTACAAAGCCCTCCATGGCCTCGCCCCATCCTATCTCTGTGACCTCTTAACCCCCTACCAACCCACCCGCTCCCTCCGCTCAGCCAGCTCCGGCCTGTTCCATATCCCCTGACCCACCCACCCCACCATTGGCGGGAGAGCCTTCAGCCACTCTGCCCCCAACCTCTGGAACTCCAACCCCAATCACTCTGCCTCGCCCCCTCTTTAGCCTCCTTCAAGTCCCGCCTTAAAACCCTCCTCTTCGACCATGCCATTGGTCACCCCTCCCTTCTCCCCTCTGATCCCAGCTCGGGTCTGAAATGCTGTACACTGTCCAGCTCTTGGGACGTCCTCCCGACGTGAAAGGCGCTTTACAAATTTAATCTTGTTGTTGCTGTTGTTTTAAGTTGTTGAAATTGTTGTTTAGTTTGATGAAATAATTGCAGTACACTCAGGTTGATTTCCCATTGCCATTTATTTTACTTTAATTGACATTAATATTTGATCAGTAATATGCTTTTGAATTACTGTGTACTATACTTGTCTCAGACTGCGGTACCAAGTTTGTACAGATGGCGGCGCTCCAAACAGCACTGACAAGAGCAGCAGCAGTATTGCAGTTCTTTGCAATTTTCTCTTTAAATTTAAACAAAATAAATGAAAAGGCCTAGAGTATCTAAATTTTATTTGCTGGAAAGTGCGTGCATTGCACATCAGGTGGGAACTGTATCAAGCTCAAACTGAATTCCCCCATCGTGAAGCAGTATTTTGAGATAGCAAGTTTAAAAATAATGAGTTCTAAGATGTGTAGCTTCGGTCTGTTTTACACTGAAGCGGGTTTATCAATATCTGTATATTTCACTAGTCATGCTACATGGTCATTTGCATTTATGTAGCTTTGTTTTAGCTATAGCTTTAACAATTTATATGTATTCACCACTCTCGGTCACAATGACAAGATCCTGCCTTTCATTGACGCTGTTCAAATATTTTTAAGATCAAAGTGTTTCAGCCAGAAAGCAGATTGTGAGATGTTACAAGCCGGAAGGTGGCGCTTTTGTCACAAGAACCGCTTATATGGGTCACATTTAATCTTGAACTAACAAACAAGAAAATGGCAGCAACTTCAGTTCAATCAATTGCAAGATTTTCCCCTGATTCTCCCCTGATGAGACATTGCTTCCAGGCAACTGCTAATATCACTTTAGAGTTGGGAACCAATTGAGATTAACCTGGAGTGGTCTGCTGATTTTGAAAGTCTTGCAATGTTTAAGGTTCAGTTTGGCACATTTTATTATCTGTCACTTCTTTCTGTACATTAAAGATCCATAACAGTATTAGAAAGTGAAAGGAGATTGCCCTGGCCAAAGATTCAGATAACTTGGTCGTTCCCCTTTCTACAACAGAAAGAGACATTGCACTTGAAATTAATTACTGTAGAACCCTTTCAGACATTTTGACATGATAATGCACTGTAAAATGCAAGTTTAGCATGGACTGGTGGTGTTAACAGCCATTTTGACAGCAGGGGGTATCAAAGCTGAGCAAAATTCTTTTCTCCTCTGTGTACTAGTCCGAATACCAGTATGGTGACTTAACCCACTAGACCATCTAGTGTGCCAATTTTTATGGGGTTGTGTGTCTGCTTGTTTTTGAGATGACATTAAAGATCAATGATAATATTAGATCAAAAAAGAAGTTTGTCCAGGCAAAAACTCCTCCTGATAAATTAGTTGTTCACCTTATATAACAAAAGGAGACACTGCCTCAATAGCTTTTTACAGATGTCAATCCTTATGGCACCTGCATTGTCTGACTGAATATCACATGTGCTTAATCATCTATTTGAACAGTGAATGGAGTTTGAAGGCACAAGGTGTGGCTTCTTTTCTTAAAAAAAAGCAAATACTGCCATGGCTACTCATATTTGAGATAATTGCTAGGTAACCTGAATAACATAGCTTGCTGACTTGATCTCTATCACACACACCTAGATTTGTCCTTGGGGCATTTATGGGTCACATAATGACTTGTTTGGTATGGGATTTCCCCTGAGCCAGAATGACTAAGGTAGAAAATATATTTGTAATGCTGTGACCAGTGATTTTCAGTTTTGGCAATCTGCATTCCAGTCATTAACAAAATACTACTATTTTACTTGACACATAATAACATTTCAATATTGTGATATCCCCTATCTGTACTCAGCTGGCTTCATTCAGTCAGTTATACAGTAAGTAGTCATTTTTTTCATAACCAATGAGAAAATGGTGGATTCTGGCCCAGTTGGTAATACTAATTGGTAACAACTGGTAATACTTGTGGTTTGTCCGCCAGAGTTTTTCCATTTCTGATGGTCAGCTAGCTATCAGTATTATAGTATCAGTATGATAAAAATTGAGGCACTTTGGAAAGACAATTGAGAAATTACTACATTCAAAGCAAAAATATTGTAAACCTAGGCAACATATCGCTAGTGATCACCTTTGTGGCTTGCTTTATTGGAACTAAGCAGCAATGGATTTGTGGAACGTTAAATAAAAACATTCTTTAGTTGTTGGAAAGAAGATGATTTATTGTTTGCTTATAGTGGTAACTGAGTTCTTAGATCAGCCCATTTGAAGGATCAAAATGATATCTTGTAAGATTTCACAATGCATCTTCTCATTCACATTCAGTACGTTAGTTTGTAAGATGCATTGAATAGCCTGGATGCCTGTTCAATATATTTCCCCCCCTTAGGAACTTGAACATTTCCAAGCCTTTGTGAAAAGGAGGCCTCCTTTTGATGTGGTAATTGATGGCTTAAACGTTGCTAACATCTCGGCTAAGGTTAGCCAGTCCAAGACTGTGAGTACATTTTTAAAATACATTTGAAATTTCCTTCCGATTATTTTCCTGCCATTGCTGATTAGTTACTCTTACACTATTGTGGAGTTATCAGTGTTACAGCATTTGCCTCTATTGTATTAAATGAAGAAATGTACACGGTTTGAAATGGCACGCGATTAGAAAATCACTTCCTGCTTTGGTTTTAGTTTTGTGTCTGTTAAACGATGCAGCACAATTGGCAGCGACATTTATAGAGTTCATAACAGTTGCTCTTTGATTATATGCCTAAATTACCAAATGCAGGATGTGTTCTAAAACATAAATTTGTATCTTAAAAACAATGGGATTGAGCAACTTTGCACTTAAATTAGCTTTATATTTAAAAAAATAGACTTGAAGGTTGAAGCTGGTAATTTAATCTCAGGGTTTGATGTCTTCAGAAGCTTTTTCAATTACTGTCTTAATTTCTGAGCCATCCAACTATTAACTATTATAGTTGCATACTGTACAGTTTATTTTCCATAATCTCGAAGGCATGGTTGAAGAAGACGGTCTTGAGACGAGTCTTGAAGGAGACAAGTGGGGGGGGGGAGGCAGAGGGACTGTGGGATGGAGTTCCAGAGAGTGGGGGCAGAGTGGCTGAAGATCTGTATGCTAATGATGAGGCGAGCGGTGTGAAGCAGGCTGGAAAAGTCCACTGAGTGGACAGGTTGGTAGGGGGTTAGGAGGTCACAGAGGTAGGTACTAATTGCATTTTTTTTAAAAAAAAATTCTCTTCTAGTTGATGTCAGTAAGGTGGTAGCCTATGAAAGAATTATGTAAATTTAGTCGCTGTGCGTGATTAGGATTACAAATAGAATAAAAACGAGCAGTTTACGTCTGCAGATTTTCTTTCAGCTTTGCTTGTGTCATAGCTGTGAATCAGCATCTATCCTTTTGTGGGTCACTAAGAAGAATGAATCATGTACTTCCTTGGTAACACTCCACCCATTCTCAACACAAGTAATCAGAAGTACTGTATACTCCAGATGTAAAGCACCAGAACCACAGTGATTCACTAACTTACCATAACCCAGGATTTCTTCCTTCACAAAACTCAATAAGACAAAAGTTTGGGAATATTCATAATTTAGTCAGTCCATTAGAGCCCTCGAATGTGCTAGTATGATTTAATAATAATAATCCTTGCATTTGATAGAGAGCTTTTCACGTCTTCTAGACATCCCAAAGCGCTTCACAGAATATACTGTAAAGTGAATTGACTGTACATTTGTGGGCGAATGTGGCAGCCAATTGCGCACAGCAGTGTCCCACAAACAGTCGTGGATTGAAAATGACCAATTTATTATTGTTTTGGAGGGATTATTATTAGGCGTGTGGAGTAAGCAAACTAGCCAAGGTTTCGCCCTGCCGGGAATTGAACTCAGGTCTCTCACTTGCAAGGCGAGTGCTCTAACCACCGAGCTACAGGACTCCACTAATGAAATTTAGTTCCAAATCTTTTAAAATGTTCACTTTGGAACAAAGTAAAGGACTGTATTACCAATCATTTGAATTGCCTCACATGTTACAGTGTAGGATTACATAGTGTTAAAAAATCTGTATTAAAATATCTTCATCAGTAAACTACTGTTTTCACATTCTGAACAGGTACAATATAATGCTATTACTGGAGTAATAATAACCTTTTTATACATTTAAATATCTACAACCAACACACTGGGTTTTATTATGCAGGGGAGTAAACCATGTACAGTAACTTAAAAGCTCTAGCTCAATTGTGCCCGGTTCTTAGTCGATTGGTGGATCGCTTTTCTGGGGATAATCCTTTCAAACAACAAAAAATATAATAATGATTTGGTTCCTCAATCCACAACTGTTTGTGGGACACTGCTGTCCTTGTTTCGCCCACAAAATATAATCAATTAACTACAGTATATTCTGTGAAGTGCTTTGAAACATCTCGAAGACGTGATGAGGCGCTACATCAAATGCAAGGATTATTATAACTATCAAGATACATAATATCTTCTAATGGAGACATGAGACATTTTCCATGTTTGAACATCTATGTTACTGTGTGATATTACTGTTATGGAACCAAAAATATCACTGGACACATTTTTCTATCTCATTTTTTTCCCCTCCTCCAACATTTTATCTTCTCTGGCCTCTATTTGTCACTATCTTGCAGCTATACATTCAAGATCAGAAATTTAAATGTAAGAATGTGGCTGAAAACCCACATCCTACCCTCCTGTACCATTCAATCTCCAATAGTTATTTTTAAATGCCTTAAAAACAAAATACAAATAAACATGGTTTTAAAGTTTTATAACCAGGAAGCTAATGGTTTGTTGCAATACATGCTTTTCCCCAGTGACTAATGAGGTTGTTGTTTGAACTTGTTTACTGGAGGCCCATGGCAGAAACTGAGTGCAAGTTTGACTTGGCATCTACTGGTTTCTCTGTCTTTTTTTACAGTGAAACCTATGTGCTGGTACCAGTACAGTGCACTGATTTATAAATTGATCTGAATTAATCTAATTTTGTAAAGAACTGTGAGATGTTTCTTTACGTGAAAAACGCAATATAAAAGTTGTTGTCTGCAACTTGAGTCAAGTGGTCAAATGTATGTGCAGCATTTCAGAATGGATGTGAATCCTGTTCATGAGTATTGAACATACTGAGTATGACATTAATGAAAGGGTGTTATGTAAAAAAAATCTTTCGTAACCCAGGCTGATGAATAAATTTAATGTTTAATCATTCTATTTTAAATTCCTTGTTCCTGCATTTACATGCTCATAGTTAGGTTTGCTGTACCAATCTACAGATGAGAAAATAGTATTTTTTTTTCATTTTTGCAGTTGATCAAAATAAGTCATTTAATGAGCTGATCATTTTCCTGCCCAATTGCTGGTAAAAGTGCTGTAATTTCAACCAGTAAACGTGTTACTTCTTTTCAGACACTGCACTGTTTTATGTGCTTGTGCTGGGAAGGAACTATCTGGCAAAGCCAAAAGGTGTTGCACCATTGTGTAGCAGTAGATGGTGCATTGGTGAAATGCTGAATTGTTAATCCAGGTTAATGTGCAAACACTTGATTGATAAACAACAACAAGATTACATTTGTAACATGGTATGTAGTATTAATAATCCTTCAGTAATGTAGGACTGAAGGCCAAAATGCAAGATTAGTGCCAGTCTGGAATCTCAAGCAATGTAGTAAAAGCAACTTATCAAAACCGTAGTTTTATAACCAAAGATGATTCATAAAATGTTGAGTGCAGCAGTCTGCAGTTTGCCCGAGATAGGGAAACTGAATCTTGGATTATTATTGCTTCCGTACCTCATGTGTTTTCTGCAGGTGAAAATCAATCTGAAATTATACCCGTTTTAAAACTAAAAAGCAAATTTTAGATTGCAGATGTTTACAATGGAATATCTGTATATGTTCATTTCAGCCCAATAGAAGTGTACATTCACACAACACCATGGGGCAGTGCTGTGTGCGTGCATGTGCATGCGTGTGTACGTGTGTGTGTGTACTGTAGGGCTGCGCATGTGCTATGGGGCTGTGCGGGCGGGCGGGCTGGGGGAGCTGTGCGGCGGCGGGCTGGGGAGCTGTGCGGGCGGGCGGGCTGGGGAGCTGTGCGGGCGGGCGGGCTGGGGAGCTGTGCGGGCGGGCGGGCTGGGGAGCTGTGCGGGCGGGCGGGCTGGGGGAGCTGTGCGGGCGGGCGGGCTGGGGGAGCTGTGCGGGCGGGCGGGCTAGGGGAGCTGTGCGGGCGGGCTGGGGGAGCTCTGCGGCTATGCAGCCTGGGGGGCTGTGCGAGCTGGGCGGGGGGGTTGTGCGGGCGGGCTGGGGGGCTGTACTGTGTGTATCCTGGGTGTGTCCAAGTGTGTATAGACATATATGGTGTGTGTGTGTATGTGCTTAGGGCTGTGCCGTTTGTGCTAACAGCTTTTGATTGGAGTGGGGGATGAGAAATGCTGAGAGAGTGTGATATTGCAGATCGCTTTATGACCACGAACATCCTGTAAGGAAATAGCTTATTTTTAGAATCCCAATACTTCTGTGCCAGAGTGTGTGTTAGGTACTTTCCTTCAACTTTTCATTTAAGTTGTAAAACACCTATGAATATGCCTTTATTCCACCCTCCTGCTCCAGAAAAGGCTCACTAAAAATACAGTTGCATGAAAATAGTATAATTCCAGCCCCCCCCAACCCACCCACCCCCCAGAGGTTTGACAAATGCAACGATAATTTTGATGTCTGTGAAACATTTTAGTAAAATATTTGATTTTTTTAAACAAATGATTTCTTACACAATAAATTTACTAAATTTCCATTTTGTACCAATGAGCCTAAACCGCAAATAGAAAGTATTCTAAAAATAACCATTAACTCTTATGTTTACTGAATTTAACTATTATGCAAATTAATAATAAAATATCAATCCTCACATTTGATGCAGTGCTTTATCACATTGTCAAAAAATCCTAAAGTGCTTCCCAGGAATGTTTTGTAAATGCTAGTGACTGTATTTGTAATGCTTCAACCTTATTGCTTTGTAGTCTCTGAAGATTATCCAACATTGTAAATTGTGCCTAAATAAACTTCAAATCAATCAATGTAAATGATTTGATATTCATAATGTCACAAAGTAAACAAAGAATTACAGGTCAAAATTATCTTCCAAAATTTGCTCAAATCAATGGTTCTCCACTCTCATTTAGCGCTGTGGTTAATGGCTTTAACTGATCAAATTCCTACTCAACACCAACAGCCGAGTAGCTGAGGAAGTTCTATTCATTTAGCGCCCACAAAGATTCTATTTAAAGTGTGGACACCAAGGTAATGTGGCATTTTAGTGATGCACTTTTTTCCATTTAAGGTTTTATGAATGTAAATTGGTAGTGTATACTTCACAAACCAAATTCTTTATTTTAATTAGATCTTTTGCTTGATTTTATCTGATGTAAACTCTATTGCTTAATTTTAGATGGGCATATTT